GTATCCGATTCTGATGAACTACTGAGTGCACAAGGATCCCCTGGGGGATTGGGCTAGGGGATCCTGGAGGACGAAAAGCTCCGTCGTTACCAAATGGTCGAAATTTAGTTTTAAAAAATAATCATATGTACGAGCGCTTGGTATGGTTATCATCTACTACTAAACGTCGAAGTTTTGCGCCAGTGTTCGACATGCCTTTAAACATAGGTTCCTAAACTTATTTGCTCACTGGCCACTTAGGCAAAATAAAAAAAATTCAAGGCTCACAACCCCAAACAAAAATAAAAACACGTATTTTTTATATTAACTTTACAAAAAATTACAAGGAAAATAGATATAATCATCTGGTCTCAGATTACAAAACAATAGGCAGATGGACCGCGCCGAACACGAAAGTGAAGCCACCAAAGCAAATACAAATTCAAAAGCTAATACCATCTCGCGTCAGTACTAAGCACAGCGTCGCACTGTTTGCACGTCGCGAGTGGTTAACAGTTTTATGTTTAAAAATGCCGTCTTGTGTCTTTGAACATTGTAAAAGTTGTTCCCAAAAACAAATAAACTAAGATGGAATATCTTTTCACAGGGAACTACTAATTATTTACCTGTTTTGTAATTTATTTACCCGATATTTTTTGAGATTCACTCGGAACACAAAACCTCGACATAAATTCGTATGTTGCCAGTTTATAAGTATCGAAATGAGTTCCCTTAAATTTAGTAAATATGCATGGGTGATGGGAGCGTCGATTAATTTATACTTTTATATAGAAATTAAATAAAAAATTCTTCTTAAACCAATGTCTAATAGCCATAATGTACACAAAAGAAAATGTCTAAAAACAGCTAAAATCTTAGTTAGATCTACAATCTGTATCTACATTTAACTGCCTCTGTGGCCGAACGGTTATCATGCCGGACTGCCACGCAGAGGCACCAGGTTCGATTCCCGGGCCGGGAGAAATATTTGTATGGCCTACATTTATTTCTCTCGTGAGTTTGGGTGTAATTTGTCGTTGTCTATGTGTGTGTCCATGGCACCCGCGACACAGGGTTTCCCTAGTGCGGGGCTATGTTGAGTGTGTGCGTTATTATTATTATATTATTATTACAGAGAACTTTTGACTGTTAGGTGCACTTGTCATAAACAGAGAGATTTTGAAAGAAAACGTGTCAAAGTTCTAAAGAGTTTCATTGGGAACCAAACAATTTTTGTCAAATTAGGAGATGGTCGTCAATGCTATGGAATTGAAAGTTAATTTAATAAACGTTGTTAGTTTAATAATGTTGTGGATATTCCAAAGATTCGCACGAAGCGTTATTCTTCCACATTTTTGTTGTGGAATTCCCTGCCTGCAGACTTGTTTCCTGAACGTTATAACTTGGGCCTTTTCAAGACAAGAGTGAATAGGTATTATTTAGGTGTGTACGCTCCATCGTCGACCTCGTCGTCGCTTTCCATCAGGTGAGATGGAGGTCAAATGCACACTTATAATTTATAAAAAAAAGTTTAATAGAAAAGTATTTGATGGTACTATTGTACTACATATTAATATCAGATATCGGTAAATGGACGCGAAACGGTAATATTATAAAAAATATGAACAAAATAAAAGTTATTAAGAGATCTTGTAACTGTGATTGTAATGAATATTTTGAAATATCAGTCAAGAGCACGACAAGCTTGACTATTTGTGTTGTTGGCATAGAGTTGGATTTAAATCTTAAATGTAAAGCTTGACGTGCTATACCTATATTGCAAAATAACATTTCCAGTTTGTAACATTAGTATTATAGAAAGCAACAGAAAAAAACTGCGAGAGTTTTTCGCTGCATCTGGCAATACCACACGCACACAAATACGCATGTCCCTACAGCGCCATTCCTCCATTCCTCCATCTGCCTATTGTTTTGTAATCTGAGCATGTAGTGTAGTTTATAGATAATTCAGGTTTTTTGTTTAATACAATAGCGCCCCCTGGACAGCATCAACGCCCCCCGATTGCTTCCGAGGCCCCAACCTCCTGGGACTCTTCAGCGCCCACTGGTAGGGACCACTTTGGAAAACTATACTACTAAAATAAAATATGAACGATATACATCAATAAATACACACATAATAAAATTTGTAATTATTTAATAGTTTAAATAAACACTTACCGATAATTAATAAAATTCCGACTAAATAATGCACTCAAACTACTCAAAGTCTAATCGATTTTTGTAAGAACACTAACGCACTTTCAACTTGGATCGCCTGTTTGTAAAAACTTTCGTCATATTGAAAAATTATAGCGTGAATCGAAGAAATTCATATTATAATATTACTAGTTCATTTAACACGGGTTTGGAGTTATATAATAAGACGTGTCATATATTGGGACAATGTTAAAGAGTGGTCCATTTAAAAAAATAATAATAAAAACGTTTATTTTCTCCCAACATGTACATAGAATAGATACTTAATAATCATAGGCTAACTTTGGGAGACAGGAGCTCAAACTAGGTTAGACCTGTGCTATGAGTCTCCTGGTCTCCAACACCCGGTTACAAATTTCACATCGAATTATATGTAATTACAGGGATGACAAAATAAAATAAAATAAAAGAAGACAACAAAAATTGATCAAAAATAACAATAATACTCTAGTGATAAGTGTGTGTGTGTTTTTGTGTATGTGTGTATGTATGTATGTGTGTGTGTGTGTGTGTGTGTGTGTGTGTGTGTGTGTGTGTGTGTGTGTATGTGTGTGTTTGTGTATCAATGCCTATGTACGCATAAGTGGGTGTTGTGAGAATATTTGATATCACAACACTCTTAGGAATCATACCTTATTCTAATACTAAACAGTCAGGGCTGGACAGTATTTCGGTTATTGGAAATTGAAATACCTAGGCTAAATACAAGTATATTTTAACAGTTTAATCCTAATCTGTAACAAACACATAGGTAAATAAATTTGAAAGATCTGCTGACTCTGTTGATTCAGAGCGTTGACTACGGCATGACAACAGACATAGAGTGTTGTAAAAAACTCGAGTCCGGGAATGTACATTTATAAACTCGACTCACGAGTCATCGAAGCACGGACTGGAGTCTAAAAAGAACCCTAGTCGTGAATTTAACTCGAGTTTTGTACAAAACTCGACTCAAGCCGACTTCTACTCTACAAAGTCTCGAGTACGACAAGCATGGTTCAATTTTATCGAACAATTACTATTGCGCACGAATTAAATAAAAAACAAAAACCCAATACGATGATTTAAACAAAAGAAGAATTAATATTTAATCGCACCATAATAATTATAATACAGTTTAACACGCCACACCACAACATCGCTCAGTCGGTACTCGTTACATATATAGGCTCGAGTCCTAACGTCGAACTCGAGTTTATTCGGAAACTCGATAGGTTCGTAATACATCGAGTCTTGTGAATAGAGTGAAGTCCTAAAATGTAGACTCCCGAGTTTTTTACAACACTGAGTTTTTATTTATATTCGTTCTTTGTATAATAATAACTAAACTAGTGAAGTAATTTTCACAAAAAATATATTAAAATCATATTAGTAAAAGATCGTGTTATCATATAAATAAACAATTATTACAAGTACATATTCGTCGCCTTATTATTAAAACCTTGTGTGTTCAAATCCACTTATAACATGCAGAAAAATTCAGTGCACTAGTTAAAACTCGACAGAGATATTTATTGAAAAACAAAACCTCACGTAACTTTATTTTTTTTAATTTCTCTCTTGTAAAATTTTAATAGTAAGGCAGTGATTTGCCATTCAATTACTGTAGCTTTATGTAGTTTTATGTATAAAAAAATATTTTGTAATTGGTATTTTAATAGTTGAGGTCTAAATACAGCATTTATATTTCACAATTTGAATACACCTCATGAAAATATTTTGTAATTATATTTGAATTAAAACATACCATGTATTTTGTACATAAATAAAATATATTCCGAAGAAAAATGATATCCCATGAGAGTTGTAGCCTACATACGTCTTCCAAGAATTATATGTACCAGAAGTGGTTATAAAAACTAATAAATAATAAAGTAATATATGATAGAAAAAGGTACAATGGTCAGAACAATAAGTATTTATAAATAATTATTAATACAAGAATCGAACCCAAAAAATCCTTCTTTCTGACAGGACTCGAACCTGTATCTGTTGAGAAAAAGCGTTATATTTTCACCGTACAAAAAATCACAGTGACAAATCACCGTGGTTTCGTCACGCCTGTCACTTATATCACCATAAACGGTTTTGGCAAGCGACTACTTTCTAATATCCGTTAATAATAATCACTTTGCTGTAACGTATAATTTCATTTGAAAAATTGATCCGCAATAACCTTCACAATTTTACAGGCTTGTCGCATTATTCGTTAATAAGACATGTGGCGTGTTTATTATTTTGGATCAATTTTGTACAATTATCTTATTTGTATTTACAATATTTACACGGTTTTTACACTAATCTAATTATTTCTTGGTTCATAATTAGAATTTAAAAATAAAACTGAACTACAATGAGTAGTGCAAGTGACGTGATCACTCACGTAGACCGTTAATAGAACGGAGGAACAACCTATATGATTTTGGAACGTCGTTCCTTCGTGAAAAGTCACGGTGATACTATTTGACGGCTGATCACTGTGATATTTTCATCGTGACGTTATTTATCACACACCTCTACAGAGTAGTAGCTGATGTCGTTTTTTACAGAACAGCCGATGCTGATTTCATGTATTTAAAAAAAACGCGAAAAATGTACAACTCTCTCTCTCAGATACGCTGCAGCTGTTATTGATGGGCGTGTCGCTTAGCATGCAGACAATTTCTGACATAATGTCAAAGACGGCATATGGTAACATTAAACAAATTCAAATGGCGACCCGAATTACTGCTAAATAACTTATAACTAGATAACTTAATAGTAAATAATTGAATAGTAAATAATACCTTAAAAATGATATATTACAAGTTGCTTTCAAAATTAGTTATCCCAACACTATTATCCGTTTCTAAAAGATTACATTCTTCAAAATCACTTCTTTTCTCGTCACCCTTATCAAAGTTATTTTTACAAAGAAAATCTCCCACAAAATTGTTCCTATCTTCCATGACTTCATCAAACGTACCTCTAAATCGTTTGTCATCATAGTTTTGGTATCTCTGTATTTCAAAATCCGGTGTTATAGTTTGTCCTTCATTTATAGTTTCCTTCAAAATATCTTCAGCTTCAATATTTGCTTGTATTGTTTGCATTTCGTAGACTCTACCTTCATTTTTGACTTCGTATTTTACTTCACTCAAGTCAATATTTTCTCGAGTTTCAAGTAAAGGTTTTATATTCATTAAATTGAAACTTGGTATCATTCTGTTGTCCCAATGATTGTCGTTTGTTTCCAAATCCGGACGTACATCCTCTCCGATCTTTTTGAAGGTACCTAAATTATATTGAAGAGGTATTGAGAAAGACGGAAGATCAGTTTGTTGATTTGACCTCGTTGGTAAGGCTGCTATGTGTATAGCAGGCTGTATGTTCTTTGTTTTTGATTGATAGTTTTCCGTGATGTTAATTGTTTGTGGTGAAGACACTGTAAAGGGTTACACAAAATATATAGCATGTCTACAAGTATGTCAATATTATTTCATCCAAAAGACATCCACTGCTAAATATACATTACATACAATATAAGACATTTTCAAATGTACAAATTACACTGTGAAGAAACTGGGATTTCAATTAAGTGATTCCAGTTAAAATTATTCATTACTTTAAATTGTTGACGCATTCGTTTTGCTTGATAAGTTCTGAAGGAAACCAGTTACATATCACAATAAACACCATCTTGTTCATTTCAAAAACATTTTTTTCGAGTTAAAAGCAAACTTTGATAATAAGATCGGACTAAGTTAATTAATCAGTTAATTAAGCACTTTCCTGGATGCTAGACTCTATTTCAGATCTACATTAGGCCCATTCATTATCATCTGCTCGAATTCTATTTTAATTGTATATTATATATATATTATATTATATTATATATTATCTTACAATAAATACAAAATATTTTTTTAATATACGGAAACGTACTCACAGGTCAGTCGTTGGCGCTGTACTATTTCAGCTTTCTAATTTGTGATTTCAGCGCAAACGAGAGTTGATATTTAAAAGTGATAGAGGCCCATTTGCCTGATGAGTTGCCAGGGATAGAATGGCACTTATTTCGTCTCTATTTCTGGTTATATATTTGATGTGATCTTGTGTACATGTACATACATTAACTTAAAAAGCAACCTTTTTATTTTATGATAAGTAGTATGGAAGGACGCCTTACCTGGTATGGTAATGAAATCCCTCATCTCCAGGGCCAGAGCGGAGGAGGATCTCTCGTCAGGAGACCTGGCGCTGCGAGGGTATGCCTCCACACCAGCTTTCTGCTGTTTACGCCACTTCGCGCGCCGGTTTTGAAACCATACCTTTAATTTCATATCGAAAATCGATATCAAAAATATTTTCTTTCTTATTTTTTGGCACGGCTGTGCCACTACCGGGTACAGATGTATTATAGAAGATTGGACTGTTATAGACTACCACACCACCTGAAGGAAGGAATATAAATAAAATTATCACAATTTTATATGTTTTTGACAATTTTGTGAATCTTCTATAATACACCTGTACGCCTGCTGTGTCTATAGCATCGAGTATATAACCAGAAATAGAGACGAAATGTCATTTAATTTGTTTGAAAACTATTCTGCCAAATCATTACTGTGACAACTGCGTTCCGATTGGCATTAAACTAAAACTACATATTTAATTACCGAAGAAATGTGATTCACTTTGTTTTGTAATTAGATGTTTTGCTGTTTTTCCCACACCACCGAATGGAACAGCCCCATTGTTACAGATATTATCTTTATTACCATAAATACAGAATATTTTTGGAATATACGGAGACGTACATACAGGTCAGTTGTTGGCGCTGTACTATTTCAGTTTTCCAATTAGTGATTTCAGCGTAAACGAGAGTTGATATTTAAAAGTGATATATGGCCGATTTGCTTGATAAGTTGCTAGGAATGGATGGCCCTTATTTCGTCTCTATTTCTGGTTATATACTCAATGGTCGATATAATGTCAGTAGCAGGATTTTGCTTACCAGCGGCTAGTCACCGAGCTACTATTCAACTGCCATTGCAATTTTTTGGTATTCTGCTCTTCAATGGCTATTCGATGCTATGCTATGCGATTACTAATTATTTGACATATTTTTTTTTAATTAGACGACTAAATTGCTGATTAAGCGATATAAAAATTGAAATATGCATAGTCATTTCCATGATAGTTTTGGTAGACAACATCGATCATTAGTGATTGAATGAATGAATGAATTAATGCCATCACTACCATATTTCTGACACTCTATTGCGATTCAACTGCCATTGCAAGTAGATTTTAGCGGAGTAATAAATATTATCATAATTGCAATATTATCTAAATAGAAATCAGTGACGAGGCGTGAAAATAATCGTTAGTAAAACCGGTCGAACATAAAAAATCTACCTTAACAAAAACTTCTTTTTCCGTTAAAAAGGCGCCTTGTGACACTTAAACATAACACTTGTTAGCACACAACATACTATACAACCCGATGGTTTTCGAGTTTTCAGCCGCCATTATTAGGTCTTATTCTACTATGGCTTTACACCGGACTTTTGCAAATGTGTGTGTATTTTGATATGGGCGCCTAGGTTTCATGAATGAAGTAGAAGCCAGGATCCGACCGACTGGCGTGGTAGACCGCGCCCTGTAATTGGAAGAGATGCTGAGATCCATCACACTCCGTATTATTGAATATTTTGAAAATAAGTTTTTTAAGAGGCAGGATATACGCGCTGTTTAGTACAATCTTATAGTAACATGTGGAAAATTTTAGGCAAGCAAAGTAGAAATCTAAATATTCGCCGAAAAATCTTTGATATAGAATACATTCTAAACATTATAAATGGTAATGTTGACTACTTTGACTTACTGGATGATATTTCGTTTAATGTACCTACTCGTTCGATGAGAGCCTATCATTCTATTGCAGTTCCCTTAGCGAGGACTAACTATAGACAAAATAGTTTTCTATGTAAAGCTAGCAAGAGCTTGCATAGTGTGCTGAGCAATCATGATCTGGAAGTTGATGTATTCAATTTTTGTAATGTTGATGCGCTAAGGTGTAAACTCACGGATATTCTATTTAACTTTATGGAATAATTTGTGATTAGCGCTGGTATTGGGTTGTTATATTTATGTAAGTGCATGTTGTTGAGAAATACTGCTTATTGGTCGTTTGTTTAATGCTCATGGCTCAGGTGGAAACCTGTAATTGGCTTTATGTTTATATTCCTGTTTTTATTCAATGTAAGAAGCTGTTGGTTTTCCATGAATAAATAAATAAATAACTAGAGTCACAATGGAATTATTGATGGAATCAATGATTGGCAAAATCATTGATTATTTCGATGGGGCCATAACATTTAAAAGAAGAAGATATTACTTTCATCATAAACTTGACATATGTAGTACGTATGAGTTTTGTTGCGGACGCAGTCACGTGGTATCGTATTTCGTGGAAGAGTTTCAGTGATTTAAAGAATTTGCAGTCTTGGAACCCTGATCGTTAATATACCTGGACTCTAGCTTCAGTCAAGTCAATCCTCATGGCCAGTTCCTCCCTAAAGAATACGTCAGGGTAATGCGTCTTGTGAAACGCTGCCTCCAGCTGCTCCAGCTGCACGTTTGAGAAGGTAGTTCTGGAAACATTAAGGACAAGATGCTTTAGAAAAGTTGCGAAAATACATGAACTAAACGGGACCCGAAAGCATGCTATTGTCGAGCAATTCAAACTGCCTCCGTGGCCGAACGGTTACCATGCCGGACTGTCACGCAGAGGTCCCAGGTTCGATTCCCGGGCCGAGAGAAATAGTTGTATGGCCTACAATTATTTCTCTCGTGAGTTTGGGTGTAATTTGTGGTTGTCTATGCGTGTGTCCATGGCACCCGCGACACAGGGTTTCCCTAGTGCGGGGCTATGTTGAGTGTGTGCGTTATTTATTTAAAAAAAAAAAAAAATTGTACTTTTGAAACATCACGCTGATATTAATAGTTTTTAACCGAGTTAAAAAAATGAAGTTCTCAATTTGGCTGTATTTTTCTTTATTTCTTTGCGTATGCTTCGCGATTACTTACGACATTTGTAAACCGATTTCGTAGATTCTAAGTCAAATTTGAAAAAAATATATATTTAGGGAAATTAAGGAAAGAATCCGGTTATTTGAATAAACCCAGCGAAAGCGGATTGATAAGCAAACATTTTGTTTTTATTTTAATAAAAAAGTTGCTAATAACCATTGACTTACAAATAAATGGACGACGGGTATAATACAAAAACCACGAAAAAAATGTCCCAAGTCAACCTATTTAAACGTAGTGACATGTAAAGGAATATGGAAAAGCTAAAACGTTGAATTGAAATTGTAATGTCATCGCAGTACTGTCTAATTTTGCTCGCTTCGCTGTCAGTCGAACAAACGAAGACTAAAGCGCGAATGACGCTCTGTATACGATTTTAACGCCCTATAAGTTCGGACACTTTTTAGCGCAGACCCGACGTCCATATAATTGTAAGTCAATGCTAATAACACATGAAATCGTGTATTCTTAATAAATTACATTAAGTGTCGTCGACACAACCTCAAATGGCTTTGGTTGATTTCGCATAGCAGTGAGAGTGTTGGATCAATCACTTAAAAAAATATATAATACGATTGAGGACATACACTGATTACTATATGGTGTGAAAACACGATTCTAAAAAATTTTCACGATAGGAAAAAAAACACAAACTTAACGCGAAATTTTACAAGAAAACCGCTGTATTCAATAGGTGCTTTACATATACCAATCATTTTTTTATATCAACTGAACTAAATAGAACAGGTATAGTATACGATATACATTTTCAAATGGCACTAATAAGTTCATTTATTAAAAAATAAATTCCGAAATAAAGCCAGTGTCCTCTCTATATGTACAATAGAAACCATTCAGTACGGGCAACATTTTAATTCGAGCTATCCACTTTTAAACCATGTTTTTTGATAAACACGGAGTTAAATATGGTGTGATTTTCACGTTTATGTACACACTACAACTTCTAAGCGGATAAGTTGTTTCTATGAAAATTCCTAGCAACACCACTTCTTAGTACCAGACCTTGTTAAAGAAATGTAGGGCTAATGGATTCTTGTGAAATGGTAATAGGTAGATCGTTTTATAGAGTATGTGGTTAATTCTCAAGCTGTTTTTGAGTTTCGTATTTGCTGTCTTTGGGACGCTTTGAAACCGGAAGCCTGAAATCCTGTTAAATTAACGCAATAATTAAATAAATTTTACACCGCAAATTGCTAAAAATTCATCACCAACCCTATCACACACGTTTCACTACTGGGCACAGTTCTCTTCTAACGGTAATGTGAACATTACTACGCTCCGGTTTTGAAGGGTAAGGGTGCTGGTGAAATTACAGGCACATAGGACTTGTCAACTTATGTTTTATTTTTTTAAATATCAAGTGACGGGACGGACAAGTCGTGTGACTTATGGTAAGCTACATGCCTGTCCATAACAGTTGCATTGCCACTCAGAATTTTAAATCGTAAAAATTTGAGGGGCACTGCCACAGCGCCCGTCACTCTGAGACATAAGTTGACAAGTCTCATGTGTCTGTGATTTCATCAGCATCCTTACCCCTCAAAAGCGGAACACAGTAACGCTGACATAATTGCTTGGCGGCAGAAATAGGTAATAGAAATATGCCCCAGGTGACGGGCGCAGTGGCCCCTCAGACCTTTACAATTTAAAGCTCTGAGTGGTACTGCAACTTTTATGGACAGGCGTGTCGCTTAACACCAGGCGTACGACTGGTTCGTCTCGTCACTCGATATTATAAAAAAAAGCCGGGCGACCGCTTCAATTAAACTGCCTCCGTGGCCGAACGGTTACCACGCCGGACTGCCACGCAGAGGCCCCAGGTTCGATTCCCGGGCCGGGAGAAATATTTGTATGACCTACATTTATTTCTCTCGTGAGTTTGGGTGTAATTTGTGGTTGTCTATGTGTGTGTCCATGGCACCCGCGACACAGGGTTTCCCTAGTGCGGGGCTATGTTGAGTGTGTGCGTTATTATTATTATTATTAATTCTATAATGAAAGGGCGTGAGACGACCCGTGCTTCGCAACGCGAATGACCCGCGAGATTATGCGATTGTGTGCGTCCGTACACGACGCGCAGCGAGCGTGCACACATATAAACGGCGCTGCTATGTTTGTATGGAATTACCATATTTCTCTTATCATACCATGTTTTAGACCCATACATATTCGACATCGAGTGCGACAGAATTCTACTTCGACGGGCAGTGTGTGCATCGAAATTTCATGTGACAGTCGACGAAACACAAAGAGATATAAATACCTATTTCTGCCGCCAAACTGTGTCTCAACTTATGTGCCCCTCAGATCTTTGTAATTTAAAGCTATGAATGACACTGCAACTGTTATGGACAGGCGTGTCACTTACCACCAGGCCCACGACTTGTTCGTCCCGATCCCGTCGCTTAGTATCATAAAAATATATATAAATAAATGTTATATTTACCGATATCGTCGTTGTTTACGTTTTGGCACATCAGGTTTTGATCCTGCAAAATTGAAAGTTGTTTGTAAATTGAAAATGAAACTTATTTCCGGATCTAAATGACATAATAATACATTTACGTAATACATACGTAACGTTGGTTTGTTTAAACCAACGTTACGCGCTCTTTACATGTCCCATGGTTACGGCTGACCGAGATGATATTGGTCAGTTACGTTTAATATTAGTGCAAACCTATTCTGAACTAAAGATGTAAAAATTCTTAATTTATCAAATGGTTTGAAAAATTAGAACTGAAAAAATGTTTACATTTCCAATAAGTAACAATGGTAAAAAATTAAGAACTCAATCTGTTAAGTATGCAGCCAGGAAGCTTAGCATCCTTTCCAGTGTGGAACGTTACTTCACACCGGGACAGTAGCTTCAGCTGTATTACAAGTATAATGTCTATTCAATATTTTTATGGGGTCATGGTTTCGCGGATTTCAAAGAAATAAATGCAATATTTATATACATATACATTCTTCATTGCTCCAAATAAATACAACAGTAATACTAATTGAACAGAAGGTGAGCAAAGATGGATTTATCTTTAAGAGCTAGCCAATCCAAGCCAGTGAGAGCAAAGGTCGTAAGCGGGCAACAAACAGCGTGTAAGAGAGAAAGAGAGAAAAATTTTACTAACTACCAGATAAACAATAAAAAAGTTACCGTTACTTACATAAGTATTATAAATAAATAGAATATATTTATAACGTATAATAAATAACACCAATACACATAAGTACACATACATAAATATATATTAAAAAATAATAAGATGATTACGAAGAGAGCTCAGCAAGAAAGTGCACGGTCAACCTTTTCGTGAAAGAAGTATTGGGAAATATTTACAGTTTGGAATTACCAGATTTCGGAGAATATTCTTCATCATCATCATACTGTTGGTGTTCTCCGGTGTCTTCGGAAGTTTCTGTGGTATTGTATGACTCGTTAGGTTCTACGTCAGGTCTTTCACATAAAACTGATCCCGGACCTAGGCTATATAATAAAACAAATTATGTCACTGTAATAATGCATGTGATATTTACTTAGTCAGTTAACGTATAAAAATATAATACATGCTTAAATCAATGCAACTGTAGTAATGTACGATTCCAGTTGATTACGAAGCATAGGCTGCAGTTGAGCCACTGGTGCTGCGGTATATCGCCGCAACACTTGCGGCCCCGAGGCGGCAAAGAACGCTTGCTGCCGCGGCACCATTTGTAGTCAGCCTTAGGGCTACGACAAATGCGTAAGCATTCGTCTCTATTTTAAATAAAAAGCGATTCTGTATTAAATACTATTTAAGGCGTACTGGACATACCTATTAAAAAGATTAGGTATATTATAGCAGAAACTAGTAGTAGGTGAGACGTCATCATTCAGAATGGTAGCAGAGTCGAACCCGGCGGAGCCTTCGCGGCCGTCTAAAGATTCCTCCATCATCATTGGAAACTGATGATAGATAGAAAGAAAAAAAAAAGTCATTATAAATAGTACATGCTTTTAAGTTGCTCCCAGGAATTTATCGGTACCGATATCGATGGCGAAATTTCGGGAAATTCCCAGCTAAACTCAACTCATTCAGTTACTAACTTCTGCTTGAATTGGTGTTAGTTTTCTTTTACAATACCAAGTGACGGGTCGAACTAGTTGTGGGCCTATTGGTAAGCGACACGTCCGTTCATAGCAGTTGCAACGCCACTCAAAATTTTAAACTGCAAAGACCGGAAGGGCACTGATACTGCGCCGTCACACTTAGACGTAAGTCGACAAGTCCCATGTGCCGGTTATTTCATCAACACATCTATCCTTCGAAACCGGAACCCAGTAATGCTCACACTACTGCTTTCGAACTTTTTCACAAGGAGTTCTTAGTGCTACTAAAATATATATATAGTATAAAGAACGACGTTGTGAAAAGCTAAATACATACATATTATTTTTTATTTTACATATAATGTGAAAATTTGAAGGACTATTTATATTTTCAATTTTATTGAAGTGAAAGATTGCAACAATTTAATTACAAAATAACGCTAAAACAATGTATTTAGTTGTATATTTATTTAATAATATATTTTGATTGATTTTTCGCTTCCACTTTTTTTTATGTTTCTTATTTTGCTTCAAAATTAAAAGAAAAATAATGTGACATGTTTTCAGCGCTATGAATTTGAATTTATGTTAAAGTAACATTAAATATCGAGTTCTTAGGTTTTCGTGATTATTACAAATAGGAATATTTCCGGATTTAGATCGCGTATATTTGTTTTTTCTAACAAACCAATTCAGGCCCCCTTGCAGGTTCAGTCAACCGTATCCAAGAGACCTGTAAAATACCAGTCAACCGTGGTCATGGGACCTGTAAAGTGCCCGAAACTTTGGTTTGTTTCAAAAAATCCGAAAAAATAGTTTAATTTCCTATAAAATTGAATATTTTGATATTTCCAATGTAATTTTTTTTGAAAACCGAAATTTCCCGGAACTAATTGTTACAGGTACCGGGAATTGAAAGTATCTATTCAGTACCGGTACTACCTAATTATTATATTGGTGTACAGTACACTACTAGACATATAATGGTGTAAAATTATGGAAAAAATTACAGAGCCGCAAAATTGGTTTCAAAGTAATGATAAAGCTGACAAGGGCTCACTACGATAGTATTGTCAAGTAGGAATCTAAGTATACAACCCTTCTCATAGGTACGTACCAAAGTATATAAAAGGTTTATGATGGACGATGACAATAATACAATTAAGGAAGAGGAACTCCTTTGAGGACGCGAAAAAAGAAACGATTTCCAAGTAGGATATACCTACTTAAATATAACTACCTATACGGGGTGTAATCGTTAAATGGGCCCAGTCGATTATTCCGTAAATATAAGAGATATCAAATACCTATGAACTTAAATCGAAACTATGTCACCTAAAAAATAAATATATAAAACAGTCTCTTACAATCTCTTAACAGTCGATATTACTTACTTCAGCTTGAATTCAAAGTTTTACCATACTGAATCGGTTCTATTGCGCGTGTCGGGTGACAGGGACACTGGCTTTATTTCAGAATTTATTTTTTACAAACGAAATTAAAGCTATTTAAAAAATGTATATCGTATACCATGCGCGTTCTATTTAGTTTCGTGGATATCAAAAAATCATTGGTATATGTAAAATACACACTGAATGCAGCGGTTTTCTTGTAAAATTTGGAGGTATTTGTTTTTTTTTTTCTATAGTGAAAATGTAATGAATCGTATTTAACACCGTATATAACCAGTTTATATCCTCCATTTTACTATATCTTTTTCCCAAAGTGATCGATTCAGCACTTTCACAGTTATGCGGAATCAACCAAAGCCATTTGAGGTTGTGTCGACTTTTAAAACAATTTGAGGTGAATTAAAGCCTCTCTACGAATGCCAAAGGTATGGAAACATTTAACGTTAAAATTTTGGATATTTCTAGTTTTATTTAAAAAAAACCTTATTGACGTCGTTTTACTCATTAAGTAACGTACGTTCGATATCGGTATAAAAGTTTTTGATACGTGTTATAATTACGGAACAATTGTCTGGGTACGTTTAACGAGAACATCCTGTATGTGAGGTATATAATGATTTTAAGTGATGATTCTACCTATTAAGTTTATACACCTCATACGAACACCTTTTATTACAAACACCCAACTGAAATCACGAAAAAGGCAGGTCTTTCATTCATTTTCTAATATCATTTTGTACTCCTATATTTATTGGAATGGACACTGTAGTAGAAGTAGCAGGGTTAATGACCGCTCACAAGTAACCTGAGCGAACACTAAATTGAATTAAATAGCTATAATTTAGTTAACTTTATTAAATTATCAGTTAATGGGGATAATTTGTATTTTCTTCACTGCCAGTTACGTGAGGGCTTACGTCGTGGACGGCTTTCGCGCCAAAACTTTGACAGAAGTATTCACGCCATACATTTTGACAGGTTCACGCGGGATCGTTTGACAGGTGACTTTCAGCGCGAAAAGTGTATTTTTCTGAGGATAGCTAGAGTGATTGCCAGGAAATAATAATAGTGAGATTAAGTGTAACGTCCTAATTTATTATCTGATGTCATTAAAAGGACACCTCTTAGAGTATGGAAAGTACGTAACACAAGTTTTTTTTATTATGAAGACAAAAGAAACATTTCTTTTATACATTTCAAACAAATACATTTAAAATTTGTGTATGGAACAGCTATTTTTTTGCGATATAATGGGGTTGCCATAGTAAAAGTTGTTTGATTCGATTTAATGGACTAAAAATGCCTTGAAAAAGGTGTAATATCAACTAATAAATACCTTGTATTTAGGCAACGTAAACGCCTAGAGCTTAAAAATTAAGTGCAAACTGACAATATGCACGACTGTGATATTTATGGCCTAATAAGACCGTATAGAATTTTCCGCCCAATTGTTCTTTTCGTGAAGTAAATTATGAATGAATTGAATTTAACACACAAACTATAAAGCGTACTTTTGGTATAATAAAGCCATATTTCATAAAAATAATAATAACTACGAAAAACAAAATTTGAAGCATAAAAAAGTTTTCGACTAATTTCGTTCGTACAAACTTTTAAACCTCTGTCCTGAAAACTTGTTATTTTGCAGATGTAGCCTTACATGAGTGCAAAATGTTTCTAATAATCAATCTACCTCAAAATTGTTCTTTAAAAAAATGTGTAAACAATGATTCCTGTCTGTGCAGAAATCGAGTAACAATTAGTCTGTGGTGAAATCCCTTAACACTAAATAAATAAAATTTCAGATTCTTTTTAATTGCATTTTTTAATTTTGATATATATTACAAATAGTGCAACACAGAGTGCTTCTATTAGTTGCTTGGTGTTTGGTATACACATGATAGATGCAGCAAGCGAATAGCTATAGGTGAAGCCTAAAAATCAGCAATACTGAGTCTTCATCCTTTATGTCCACATTACTGTTCTTTTGTTTTAATTGTTTGTATATATTTGTTTATGTGTTTTGTGGACAAATAAATATATTTTTATTTCTTTACTTTATTTATTTTAATGTTCAATTTGCTACCTCTTCCCGCGGCTTTTTATTGTAGAGGAAAGCAGTGACCAATTTGCGATAGTGATGCTATACAAAATCTTATGAAAAATATCCAAAATCGTCTTCCATTAGGCAAATTCTTTTTATCCTACCATCAGGTTCACATTAGCAAGATAAGCTTGGATTAAAGCAAAAATATTAAGATCAAATGCAGGAAGTAGAACTTACTGCCACCTATGTTTCCGTCGATATACAACCCTGACATCCTTAGTGGAAGGGTAAATTGACATCTTACGGACAGACTTGATCCATTATCGAGCTCATATTGATTTAATAGCCTTGACTGTGGTCAAGGATGTACCCAAATTTATTATAATAGGTATGAATTGACCTTCTAATTTCCTGGCTAACCGATTTTACCGCTGCCTATGGCCCGTTATGGACCCTACGCACATTGTAATTAAACTGAATACTTGGCAGATAGGGCGTAATAATAAAGCAAACTCGAATAACTTTATTTGAATGGCTAATATAAGAAACATTATGAAAACTATTTAAAAGGATTTAGACAACCTTTTAACCGAGCACATAAAGAAATATCATGAACTGTGATGAAAACCTACAAAAGAATCAAAAAATGTTTTTTTTTAATAATAAAACTCACTTACCTTAAGGAATAACAGTTTCTCTGCAAGAAGTTGTTGTTTTTTTTTAAGGTATTTACGTATGAGGAGTTTCAATAGGCTGTATCTATTGTCACGTGGTCACCACTGAAGTGAATACCCGCGATCCACTGTCACTACAACCACAGTGACAACCGTGGAGTCGACTGCTACGATAACAGTTTTCTTACAGTACCGAGAGGAAACGTCGTTTTTAAAATGATTATCTGTCAAAAGTGCTTTATCACATAATAGCCATAAAAATAATACGTGTTATATGAAACAAAAACGTGTATATGTTTCATTTTATAACACTCCTATATAAGAATAAAAAGTTTTCGATTAATATCGTTCGTTTCTTCGTTTTTTTAAACCTTTCTCTTGAACACCTGGCCATTTGCATGTGATCTTATGGTATACATACTGACACTCTAGTAGCAGTAGAGCTCCATGTGAAAGAGTTCGTCCGGGGTGAACATTACTGCGTTCCGGTTACGACGGACAAGGGTACTGGTGAATTACAGGCACATGGGACTTGTCAACTTATGTCTCAGGGTGTCGGGCGTAGTGGCAGTGCCCCTCAGATCTTTGTAATGTAAAGCTATGCGTGGCACTGCAACTGTTATGGACAGGCGTGTCGTTTCCCACCAGGAACACGACTTGTTCGTCCCATCATTTAGCATTAATAAAAAAAATCCCTATCCCTAGAATGTTGGAAAATTAAATTTCAGAGTCCGTAATTTGTGTATTTTTTTATGGTTTACGATTCTCTGAAGTATTTAGTTGGATTATTTATTTATTCACATAATAATTGTGAATATGTCGGAAAAAAAAATATCCCAAATACAAATAAGAGATAAAACATAGGAAATAAAATTAAAACAAGACATTAATGAAAACAAAAAGAATAATAATAACAACAATACAATAATAATAATGAATGAATGAATGAATGATAAGTTTATTGCTCTCATAATGCTTACTTATGACTTAAATACAGAGTTTTGTAACTGTTATGCATATTGTTAAAGTCTAGTGTTAGTCTAAGGATTATTTCCCTTGTATGACTAATCACCAGTCTCCCTCTCTCTAAGCCAAGACTAATTACTCCTAATAATAAGTAAATACCATGTGAAATAAGATTTTTTTTTAATGTTCACAAAGCTACGTTTAAATACAAAATCAATGTCAAGTGTAGCTTAACATATTTTGCAATTCAATCGAAAGAAAAAACGTTTTAAACACCATTACACATAATAAAAATAAATCGTTGATATTTTGATGAATTGTCAAAACACAAATTCCAAAATATACATAACGGTTTCTTTTGCCAAAGCGTTATCGTTGTTTACAGTTATCGATTTAAATATTTTTATTTTTGTATGACAGTATAATCTGATAAATTGTTGAAAGTCATAGCACAAAAGTTGTTGTTTGTGATTTAAAAAATAACCGACTTGTAACAAAAAAAGCTTTAGCCACTCCACGGCATTCCTAGCCAACCGCCTAGAAAACGTATGACGTTTTTCTATCATCTACATACATACCAATACATCCGTACACATGTATGGTTAAGCAGAGCTTAACAGGGTGGTAGGGTGAAGCGCTTCAAGTGCCGTACGAGCTGCGGCTTTGTTTTTTATTGCGTAGTGTCAGTTAAAGAGACTATTACCCTATTTAAAATTATAAATCATTTAAAGTTGTTACTTATATTATTATGAACAAAGATCGGAATACCATAGAGCATTACCTAAACTTCTAGTAATAACATAGACTGGACAATAACCTCCTTCTGAAATGCCGAAATGGTCAAAATAAATTTTGTTTACAATTACCAAGTTTTTCTTTTAAGAATGTAGAACAATATACAATACAATAATTTCGAAATTTCAGAGAGACGTATTAAGCAAGTTTAGGTAAATAGGCAGAATAGAATCTAAACTCCTGGCCTCGTATGCAGACGGCAACACATCAAGTTACAAATTGATGGACCTAAATCCGTTGCACCGGAGGCGATATACGAATAAAATCATGTGTACTTATAGGTTTATGTGCTGACTGATGTGACTGTGCATCAAAATATACTTAATATTATGTGAAATGATATTTGGACACTAACATTCCTGTAAACTAATATACGCCCAGCGTACTCGTTACACTACAATGAAAATTTTTGTATTCAAATTTAGCAATAATGCTCTTTTCATACCTACTTGTTTGGGTTTGAAGCATAATTGAGGCTATCAGCGCAATATTGGTGTAATAATATTACATTATTGTATTATTGTATAAAAAAAATAATTTAATATTAGAATCTAAATATAAAATAATTTACGTTTAAAGTATTATTGTAGAAAAAAAACACGATATTCAGTTTTTTTTTTGTGAAATCGCTCCACTAGTTTGTTGTAATTATTAATACAAAGATTCGAACACTTAGAAAAAATTCACTTCGATCGGATTGAAATCCGATTCGAACCAACGTCTCCCAGCAAACCATGCCAGATACTATGCCAACTAAGCCACGGAACGAACCAACAGACCTCACGAATTTTTCATTGTGTTTGTTGCAGATCTTACTTTTGGTTTTAGCAACTTTTTTGCCGTAGCGCCATCTGTAAGAAATCTAAGCAATGTATGGTTTTCTGGGAGACGATGTTGGTTCGGATCCAACCGGATCAAAGTGATTTTTTTCTAAATATTCGATCTTTGTTTAATAATTATAGCCTCAATTAAATTTAATACATTTTATCACTTCAAGCGACTTCCAGCTACACATTAATGGATCTTGTTCCGTCGCACTGGAAGCAATATTCCAACAAAAGTATACAGGGTGTAAATTTGAGACGGGGCAGCAAGACCCGCTTCGATCCGGTCTCTCGTAAGGATCATAGTCTCTATGTGACCAACTGAGGTAAGAGTACTCAAAATGTCAGAAATCACAAAAACTTTTTTCCATACATTTTGTAGGGTCCTATTTAGTAATCAGTTATTCTAGGTAGTTAAGAAAACTAATAATAAGGAAACTAACAAATTGACAACGTGTTATGTATTTCAAAATAAAAATAATAACGAAAAGCAAAATAACATAATAAAGTCCATAATAATAAATGCTCGAATTGATTGCCGCCTTGGCAGATGCATCGATTCTATTGAAAATTGCTGCAAGTGCATCTTTCTGATGTATTTTTTTTATAAATTTAATTTTTTACATTGCCCCAAGGAAAAAGTCAAGGGGCCTCAGATCAGGACTGCGCGGTGGCCATTTGATAGGACCATGTGATCCAATTAATCTGTGTCCACACTTGAGAACAAGTTGATTAAAAATCGTCTTAAAAGTGACAATACTCTATTAACAAAACAAAACAAAGCTGTTCCAAATATAAAAAATAGTGATTTATAATTCATAAAGTTCCAAATATAATAAATAGTGATTATTATAATTTGGCTTTACTTAAGTCTTATTTGTAGAGTAGTGGCGAGTTTTACACAAACTAAAAATAATAATTTTTGTTTCTAACAAAAACTTTTCATTTAAAAAGTGTGGTAAAAGATTTTTTGCGATTTCTGCCATTTCGAGTACTCTTACCTCAGTTGATCCCATAGAGATTGATCACCAGAGACCGGATAGAATGGCATAAAAAAAAGTTTTGTAAAAATTGCCTTTTATCTTGCTGACTGTTTTTAAACTGTCTGACTGAACTGATTTTTTTAAAATCTGTAAATGCCAATCAAAATATCTTCAAAATTCATGGATAGTCTTCTAAAACCGTTTTCCTGTAGCTACAACGATTAAGGTAGCTGGCCTTGCTGCCCCGTCTCAAATTTACACTCTGTATAGCTCGATGTGCTGTTGACTGTACATTGGGCGTTTGGCGCTTTCCCCATTGTAATTTGAATCTGAATTATATAGACTAGGTTTTTCAACAATAACACGTATCGCAATAATAATATGTACCTGAGTACACAAGCTTCTTAGTCATTGTCTAAGTTTTAAATACACCTCCCACGAATGTCCCATTGCTAGATTTAAGTCATAGTCCATCATACATGGAAACTTCATGTTTTTCATAGAATCATATCGCACCCCTGAGGCTCAATTTATATTGCGGTGGAACGGAATGGAAGCGAACTTTTGTAACGATATTGTATATAGTATTGTACTTTATGGTCAAATGTGTAACGTACAAACTAAATAAGAGCCAAAATCTTCCGCGGAATACCCAAGAATTACAAAAATTTGCTTCCGGCGCAATATGAATTGAGCCTTTTGGAAGAACGGCTTAAGGTGAAGTTATTTCAAAAATATTTATTGCTCCATTGGATACAGAAAAATAACTCTTCGACTATATTGTCGACAGAGTTAGAAGAATTGGAGAGGATGTGGATTACATTGTCATAAGGGGTGCGTATCATAGTGTGGTGGTATAAAGGTAACTGATTATCACCTATAATTCTTTTTTCTAAAGCTCAATGTATAATATTTACGGCCTGGTCCATACTTGATAAAGTGTTTTAGCTTATTTAAGAACTACTTACAGCTCATACCACTCAAATCGCCCGAACACACTTCTTTTGAACCTTGAGAAACGACCAAGCTACCCCATTATATAAGACTGTAGCTAGCTTGGAACAAACGACACTGTAATAGATTGTAGACGAGTAGATTTTCTCGAGGGACAGTTTGTCTTCGTAAAGCGTTAACAAATCTATTTTGTCTCATACAAAATCTGTTCAACGTGTTCGTATTGATTGTCAATCCAAGAAAGTTACATTGCATTCTAACAAAACTATATTTACAGTCTTCTGTATAACAGGAAAGGGTAAAAAAATTAAACAACAAATTTTCTCATGAATGTTAATTCATATTTAATAAATAAATACATTTTCATTGTTTTTAAAATAAAACTATTGTAAGTGACTTAGTTGTAGCAACTCTCAACAACATTATTTATAATACAATATACAGGGTGCACGCATAAACTCATTAATTGAAAAATTCTCGAAAAAACCATCACTTTACAATAAAAAAAATCGTTTAAAATAAATGATTTTACGTCATACGATATTTTTAAATTATTTGGCTTTTCCAAAAATCTTTTTGCAAACACCCCGCATAAAACACGCGCATAGCGTTTATTGCTTATATCTACTTTTATATAACAATTATAACTAAAGGGATATATATTAGAATGTACTCTTTGATATACATATATATAAAGTTAAGTATAATAAGTTAGTAAATATGTTACAAAGCAAAAAATCCCAAGTATACCTATCAAATAACATTGAAAAAATTCTAATTAACGTGGCTTTAGCGAAATTGGAAAATACTGGCTATATGTCAGCGGATTCCTCACTTTTATGCTTTTATTATAAGTAAAAGTTTCAGTAAGGTCAAACCACAATCGGACGCAAGGAATAACTTCGCGCTCAAATGAAATGCTATAGCGAACGCACACACGCCCGCATGCGCGATGTGAGCTCTATCCAATACAAAAACACTAAACAGTGTAGATGTATTGCGGTACCATGCAGTTAAATGTGGCCCAACCTTTGCGCTCCACGTTAATTACGATTGTCGTAGTTACTACAAAAAAAAATTTACAATGCAGTACTTCCTTAGAGGCGAAAAAAAATTGTTTAAAGGTGTGAACACAAGAATTATACATCTTTGGTTACAAGCGAAATTTACATAAGCATTTTGAAATACCATGCAAGAAAATTGGTATAATAGAGTTGTTACTATTTATTTCAAAAGAAGGGTATTAAGGGTATTAGCTGTAGATATATTAGTTAGACTTGTTAAATAGTAACAACCTTTTTTTTTTTTTTTTTTTTTTTAGTAACAACCTGGCGGGAGTATATAACTAACAACACAAACAACCACTTTTGTTCCACGACTTTTTTACAAAACATAATAAATTTACGAAAAACAAACTTTCAAGTTTTTATGAACTGTCTGACATTTTTTAGATTTGTATTTGGTAGTAAGGTAGTACGTTAAAACGTGCAAGAGTCCCCCAACCCCGGCTCCTGCGTTTTGGCATATACGCTTGCGCTTTTTGTTACCGCACAGTGTTACCACAATTTAGAGAAATATTTTTATTTAAAAAAAATAAAATCTGATGAACTATTAAGTCGAACAAAACTTGTTTTTTATGATGTTAGTAATATAATCCTGGTGGTTCTTCAATATAAATGTTTGATACCATCACCGTTTATTGCAAGAATTTGAAGGTAACGTGAAAGACAAATGAAATACCCTTTTCAAGCATAAAATATGATAACAACTCAAAAACACCGTAACTATCACAAAAAAACTTCAAAGCCGTAACCTTATGAAAATAAACACACCTCGTCGCTTGAAATACGTACAAGATTTGTGGCTTTATGTAACAAACAGAACCGCAAAAAAGTACATAGAGGATCGAAAACTTTCTTGCTCCTGGTAGCAACAGAATAGTTGAAACTGGAGTAATAATAACTTGAATGGTGAATTGTCTACATGATACGTTAGTTTGGCAATATCTCGGAATTTTTTTTATTACAAAATGAGGTTCAGTTTGTTGTTAAAAAGCCACAATGAGTTCCCAAATGAAACTCTATACCGTAACAGCACGTTATTAGTATTTTTATAATACACATTTTAAATATAAACTTTCCAACGGACAAGATCAATTCCATTCTTTGTTATGCATTACACTTTTGTTTAAGAGCTAGAATTTTTTTAATTAAATTTTTAGTAAAAATGAAAATCGCTTAATTTTTAAGAGATTCAATGGACATGGTTGTATAATCCAATAGTTAAAGGTAGTTCTTACATTAAGAGAAGTAATCATTTACAGTAATCAGATTCTTCTCAAAGAGGTTAATTTACGAAATGCTTTCTCGAAACAGGCCTGTTTTGATAGTCGTTACACAATACACATAACAGAGTACGCCGTAAAGTAAAGCCCGCTTATCGGTATTTTACAGGACATGTCGCGAAGAGTGTGCGATGGAATTACACGATTTAATTCCGCCTTCCCCTTTCCATCATTGGAGGACTACGCGTAGGCTTCGTAACGAAGCGTTACGCTTCCACGTTTATATGGCGAACGGCTATGGAGTGGAATTCCCTGCCTGCAGACTTGTTCCCTGAACGTTATAACTTGAGCCTTTTCAAGGCGAGAGAAAATAGGCATTATTTAGGTGTGCATGATCCATCGTGAACCTCATCGTCTCTTTCCGTCAGGTGAGATGGATGTTAAATGCGCACTTATATCTTATAAAAAAAAGACTACATTTAGTAAACGCGATGTTTACTAAATGTGCCAAAAAGAAACTGTCATCTTAAGAACAAGTTGTAGTCTATTGTACCCAAAAGGTTATATTCACTTTTAACGTATCACATGTATGTTCTTAATTAAGGCGACGTATTTCAACGCGAGCCCAGATTTTAGGAGGTGATCGCAATCCGCGCACAGGAAATTAAAATGATTCAATAAGAAAAGGCGGAGAAATTTTGAAACAGATCCGACGTTGACACGCGCCCAATGGCGACTGCCAGGGCAGCGGCCAGCGCGGCTTGTCGTTAAACCTTTGGGCAATTTTCAAGTTTTCGAATAATTGTGAATTTAATAGCTATAGGGCTTCAGTTGAAAACCAAAAGCAGCAGGTTCCCTGTAGCGCTTAAAGAGAAATATCCCCATATAAAAAAATATGTTTTAACCTGTTTTCAGGATTTGATTTGATTAGGGTAAAGTACATCGTGTAACAAATTTAGACAATATCATCAGGTATATCACATATTTTTTTAAAACCCTTATTTAACAATGAATACCTAAAACGTTTTATCTAGCAAAACAGTTTTTCCGATGACTCGCCTTAAAATACAAAGACTTTTTAAATTCTGCCATAAAATACCTTATCATACTGGCTGGTTACACAATTTGTTTTATACCTTAATACGTGATTGTGATGTGTATTTAAAAGTAACCATTATCAAATTTGACCTTGTAACAACTAACGTGGCATGCCAAGTAAATACAGAATTTTAACACAGGAGACCGGCTCCATTTTACATTCATAGATTTGTAAAGAACAGAATATGGACATTGAAAACACATCGTTTACAATCGCAATATAACCCGACAAAATTAAAAAGTACTTTTTTTTAAATATACTGATTTAATTATGTCAAGTAATTCCTATCTTTTGAATATCAAAACGAATTGATATGTCGTTTACGCCATCTACTTTCCCTGTATTTAACTAATCAGTCAATACCCTTACGATTTTAAACGATGTATTCTTGTAAAGCTGGCAAGTTAACATTTGAACCTAAGTAATTGCGCTAGTATCTTCTAACATCAATGCTCTTGTTGACGAAATTAGTACCTTAAACTTCCGCAACACAGTAATGTTTAAATGTTAATTTGTCAGGCTTCAATTAAAATGCTAAAGAACTCCACAAACGCACTTATGACAAATTTGTCTATTTTATAAGCGGCGCTCAATGTGTGGAGCTCGTAAATATTTTTTATAGTAAATCATGTCGTCCCTTTACGGCACGTAACTTACAATTTTGAAAAATTATTTACTTCACAATACACAACAAAACAATTTTGTATCGAACTGTGTATGGCTTTATTCTGTCTAAATTCTAATTTACGACCATCCTTACCAAAGTGGACGATATTATAAATAGAAAAGACAGGCCGCCAGGCATTTCTTACGACGCGCGTTGTCAAAGGACGAAGTTATGCGACAGAGCATTTTCATTTTTACTTTAAAAACAGACTTCAAAAAGGGCTTCCGTCTTTTTTGCATCGGACAAACGCGATGATAAATTTAATTATAAATTATAGATATTCCATCAATTCGCATAAAACGTGAAACACACATTGAACGGGTGCGGGTAGGGCGCGTGGCGGGTCGGGAGCACGGCGAGTGCAATTCCGTGTATTTATAAGGAAGTCTCGCGCCCGCTGTCAGTGTAAGTTCACGCTTAAAAGCTTAGGCTCCGACGTTCAACATGCGAACGACCAAGGGACTTTTTTATGACACCAAGTAACGGAACGAACAAATGTGGTGTTAAGCGACAAGCCTGTTTAAAACAGTTGCAGTGCAACTTAGAGCTTTAAATCGCAAAGATCTGAGGAGCATTACCAATGCGCCCGTCACCCTGACACATAAGTTGACAAGTCCCATGTGCTTGTAATTTCACCGTTACGTATTGTATAGGAATTTGTTCTTGCAGATTATGTTATATAAGTTTAACTGAAATTAAGAAACTTTAAGGTGCTCCCATATAAATTTAAAAATTTAATGTTCTTTAAACATACAATAAGAGAAATCTGAAGAGAAGTCTGTTATTTAGCTTTTATATTCCTCGCATAGCCGTGTCCCTTTATACAGTATACCGCATAGGTTATTAAGTGACCATCATGCCCGTGAAGTATAATTTATCTAACTAGTCTCGTATCAAACAGTAGAAACAACAAGCCTACATAACTGGTACAAAGTCAACAGTGTCTAGGATTAGAATAGTTAACGCTTTTTTGACCGACCACCTTTGCTTTAGCCTTTGCATTTTGTAAACAATAACATCAATTATAACTTAAGTAATCAGTAATTATAGGATAAATAGCAGTGGCGAGACGTCAATATAGCTCGATTCCCACCGGCTTGCCTAAGATATTCCACGCATCATCAAAAGATTGTACCATGCCGCGCGCGTACCTCATCACATAACTGACTTACATAATTTAATACTGATGGTACAGAGTACAACAGCTTCCCGGTAGATTTCAGTTCGGGTCATATTTTCATTCAGAAACCTATGCGCTCAATTCCGAATACACGTACCCATTTGCAACTTCGTTCGAGTTTATTTTGCTCCGGCTTTACTAACGAAAATTTTCATGTCTCACCACTGATAATAGACAATAATTTCAATTCTGTTATTATTCGTAAATCAAAAAAGAGACAGCAAAGAATCTTTATTCAAAATCCTCTGTAAAAATATCCCATAAAACTGAATTTTACTTTTCACAATAATTTTCATATTTAAAATGCCAAAGTTTTCAATGCAAAAGTTTATGAAACAATTAACTTTGAATAAAACATGGATTTAGCCTCCATGCAATTTAAAGCAAAGGTCGTTTTACATAGATCGGTCACATGTGTCATTTTATAATTACGTCCTTATCGCTATACATAATTTATAGATTTAAGTAGGTATAGTAATGAATAAGTTCATGGCGATTCATAATAAATGAAAAGTGCCTTGAGTATAGGTATTCCAAAATTAATATTTCTGGGACTTAAATCGAAATTGTTTTGAACAAGTAATAATTCTGGAATTGTAATAGAATCTAGTACGGCGAGGTCTGATTCCACCCTTACGGGTGTAACGCAATTATATTAACATACTGTATTGAAAACAAAAAACATAGACAAAAAAATATGTTGGAAAAAATGACGAAATTTTCCTTTATATAACTTAACTGTATATATATTTTAAACATTATTCTAATTTGAAATTTTATTAAATGTTTTTTTTATGGACACTTGATAAAATGCACTGAATGTTAGACTAGAAGTCTTCGTGATAGGATGCTGATTCTGGCAGACGTTTTATAGTAAAACTAATTTCTTAGGTGTTATTCTTTTTAGCTAGCTACATGAAAATGATTAAAGTGTTTTTAATCCTACAAAATTTTATTTAGTTTTAATAAAATGCATACAGAATCAACAAGTTCTAGTTAAATTACGTCCAAACCTCGCAATTAACCTATGTTCGAAATGTTTTTCAAATTTCTAAGCTAAAATTCAACAATATTGTGAATAAATTCGTAATTCTTTTCAATATATTCTATTCGTTAGTTAGAAATGTAAAATTGTTGCCAATTCGAGGTTTATAAAAACACCAATCCTTAATATAATTGGAATCAAGATTTTATTAAGCGATTTAACAAGTTCTACATTTCTAACGAATCTATAATTTTAATGTGATGCTTTTCTATATAAGTTTTTGTGCTTGAAAATAAATTATTAAATTTTTGTGATACTACGAACTATTTCGACTATTTCCAACGTATGTACAATTATTCTAAATAAAGATTGAATTTATTAAAAATGTTCTCGTAATTAAGTCGCTTAAATTAATTTAATACTTTATGATTGGTAACGTGCAAAGAAATTACTGTAAATTCTATTCACTCATCATCACACGCGATCCTCCACCATTAATGTTTCAAAAAGAGTTCTACTATGAAACAATAACCAGTTTAAATTGACACACGATCCATCCATACCGGACAGTAAGTTACCGCGGGGTCTTCTTGTATTTGTTTTTACTCAAATTAGCAAAAACCAACCAGTACATGCTGAGCTTATAACATTCACATACTGTATCTCGAGGCAAATTTCACGCGTATGAGAAGTTTTTTTTTATTAGTGAAATAACTACTGATTTGAAAATCTTAAAATATATTATTCTGCCGAAACTGACTTTAATAATGTACATTTAATTAATGTATCATGTTAAAAAAATATATTTTTCGTTTGTGGTGTTCCAAGTCAAGTTGCAGTTTGTTTGCAATCAAGAAAAATTGTGTCAATCCGCATGTGTTCAAGTACTGCGTACAATAGAGTACCAATATCAGGTTATCCATTACCTTCGAGATTCGTGAAAAAGTAATCAATCTACGTTTTATTTTCTTTTTCAGCTAATACACCCGGTTGATAGTAATAGTTGGTACGATGTAATACATACACTGTTAAATTTAAACAACTATTCCAATATTGAAGTCACGTTCTCGGGCGAATAACTGGTTTTATTACTAAAACCTCGAAATGACAATTATTGCTTATACCATCTTTTACAAAACTATACAGAGTAACTTTTGACGACAATTAAATAATTACATCACAACATAGAACGTGACGTGATATATATTGACGGGACGAACAAGACGTGACCCTGGTAGTAGGCGATACATATACCCGTAACATTTTCAGTGCCACTCAACAGGTTTTAATCGCAAAGATCTCAAGGGCACTGCCACTACACCCGCCATCCTGCTATATAAAGTCCAATGTGCCCTTAGTTCCTAGTTGTCCCTTCGGGGGACATACTAGGCGGTCGATTTTAAAAAGCTAGTTAAAGAATTCGTACGAAAGAGATCATATTTTTAAAGGCATCATTTGAATCTGCAAGGACGACCTAGGAGCGCGGCGGTTTTTGGACAGGATTTTTTTAACACATGTTAAGAGTCGAAAGGTCTATGCTGGGTATCTCGTTAAGGGACAAAGTCCGGAACGAAGTTGTACGACTAAAGTTGTGGACATCGTCCTGAAATGTAACAAGCTGAAGTGGCAGTGGGCTGGCCACATCTGTCGCAGAACCGATGAGCGATAGAGTAGACGGGTTCTCGAGTGGAAACCACGTCTCGGCAAACGTAACGTGAGTCGCCCCCCTGCAAGATGGACTGACGATGTGAAGAAGGTCGCGGGTAGTGGTTGGATGCGGAAAACGGGTGATCGGGCACTATGGCGTACACTTGTGGAGGTTTAAGTCGTGCAGTGGACTGCAATAGACTGATCGATTTATTGATTGAAGAGTCGATACTACCTCAGCTCGAATTCAAAGTTTTCCTGTAACAGTACGGTTCATTTTACTTGGGTCGAGCGGTAGGGATACTGGCTTATGTCAGAATTTATTTTTTTACAAACGAAATTAAAACCATTCGAAAAATGTATATCGTATGCTATACGTGCTCTATTCAGTTCTGTTGATATAAAAAATATCATTGGTATATGTAAAGTACCATTGAATATTGTTTTCTTATAATTTCGAAGCAAGTTTGTTTTTTTTTCTATCTTGAAACTTTTTAAGGATCGTATTTTCACACCTTATAGTAAATCAGTGTATATCCTCTATTTTACTATATATTTTTTTCAAAGTGATTGATTCAATACTTTCATTGTTATGCAGAATCAACAAATGCCATTTGAGATAGTATAGACTCTTAAATATAATTTCTATTCCGATTATTGAATCTTCTATTCTCCATTTTGACTATCTTGCATTTTTTAAGTACTTAAGATCTTTTGCATGCGGATTTACACAATTACCATTTTTAAACCACACCACATTTAACTAGTCTCAACTTGACTGAAAATAGTATCAAAATGTCGTAAAAATCAATATAACCTTTCTTAAGTGACACCTAACACCAAAATATCTACTCCCATACATGGACCCATTTTCGTTTATTCGGTCACTATACCTATACCAAAACACATGTCTTTTCAATAGGAGACAAAGTAATTTCCACAAAAATGTCTTTGCAGTAATGGTGTATATTGTCAAAATCATGATCATATAATTGGAATCTCTATGACAAAGCCGTAGAATGTGTAGAAGGAAATATCATAACTCCGCGCGCGTCACTAGCGTCTCATAACCCAGATTCGTCATATTGTACTTTGAAATTTTACTAAAACCATTATGATTGGTCAAAATACAATTTGACACCACATAACACATCAATAAACGACCGCGAGTCCGCATTCACGGCTATTACGATTGCGTTAGTTACAAATACGCAATACAGAATTAAATTTGTGCATCACTATATCCTCTAACAGAACTGATATTGGCCGTACACCGCCTACAAGACCTCCTATTGGCTAGTGCGGCCCTCTAAAAGAGCTGTCTTTGGCGTAGTGTAACAAGAAAAGTATGATAACTTCATTACAAGCAGCAGCGCGGCTTATATGTGTGTGTGCGCGCTCGCCGCGCGCTATGTAAGCACGTATACATTCGCATAATAATCGTGAAAGTGCATCGCGAAATTATGCTAATGTGTGCGTCCGTCCACGGCACGCGGCGGGCGCGCACACATACAAACCGCGCTACTACGTTTGTTTGGAGTTATCATACTTGCATTTTTATAGACGTCGTAAGTAATTTACCTTCAAGGAGACCTCCTATTGGCCGATGCGGTTTTCTATCACACTAAACTTTTACGTCAACTTTGCCATAGTGTTAATGTACCTCTAGATTGGCACGTTTGGAAGTCCGAACACGTGATTGTATTCATTGTAAATTTATAAAGCTGACCGTACTTTGATGTAATCATTAAATGGCATCTATAGATATTTGTTTAATGTGTAATAAAAACGGCAAGCCATTTCTATGACCGAATACAATGCCACTAAGTTATCTGTGATATGACTAAAATCCGACATGAAAATCGACAGTTAATATCTCTCAGTACATTTAAAACACCTTTTGCTATTCGACAGGTAATAGGCAATATGTATTTTGTATTACACAACATCACATAAGTTGCTCCGATCCCACAAACACCTAAACCCGAGGTAATGCAGAAAAGTTATGTTTTTTATTCTACATTGACCCGGCCGGGGCTGGGTTCTATACCCAGGACCTCAGAGATGGCGACACCATGAAAACCGGTGTTCAAGCCACTTGACCACCGAGGTCATCAAATGTATGCACAGCGCTCGCGACTGCACTCGCACGTAGTTATCAGTAGAGTGTCCCCGCATAGCGCCTGCACATGCACTACATCCCTAACTGACAATCTCATACCACAGATAAGTTGGTAATTGTATACTTTGGACAGCCATACCTACTATCAAGTAGTTACAAAATTACTACTTCAATTTACGATCACGATATAAACCTTTTCTTAATTTTTTTTGTAGATAATACAGTTCCAAAGTCGAAAATAGACTCGTGAATTCACTTATTTCAATACAAATTATAATTAGTAAATCCATTCAACATACGAAGTTTCGAAAAAAAAGATGGCACAGAAAATGAGACGTTAATTCTCAATGTGGTTAAAATTTCAAAGTCAACAATGTTGAAAAAAAATACGGAACCCCTCACTGGATTCCGATGTTTGAAATCTTGAACATTCGATTCGAAGTCCGAACTCTCTGGAATATTCTAGAAGGCTCTAGAAATTCTTACAACGTTCTACCGTTCTGCGTGTGCAGTTTAGACTTCCGTGCTTTTTCCTACATGTCCCTGCTTGTTGTCCGGGATGCCTGACGCGCTGAGTTTACGCGTACGTCCAGGAAATATTCCGCTGAACAGGCGACCTGCAAAACATCATTACCTTAATTATTACCAATTAATAATTTTCGCCTGATTTCTAAGTTTTCGGCTTGAATTTTGGAATGCGTGATGTGATCGACCCAGTGTGAAACTCTTGGTTTTAAAAGTTCTGCTTGGCCCGCGAATTAGGTATTTGATAATATTGTACATAGCTATCTCTAATGATTTACAGTTTTTGTATTTTGTACTTAGAAGCTCCTTAATCCGTCTGTGGACAGTAATTAAATAATATCGCAGACCAAAATGCCACTTTTTTCGTGACGTACATATACTTAATAATTATACACCCACCAGGCGATCGCTGTTCCCCCGGGTGCCTCGGCGAAGTGGCGTGCAGCGCGTTGCGGCTGCCCTGCTGGAACGACACTGACATGCCACTGTCCAGCGAGCCTACAGATCCTCGTCGTTGTAGGCGCTCGACGGCCAGCGCAACTGAAATGTTAGCAACATGTAAATACGTGCATACACACACGAAAAACCATAGATATAGATAACTCTAAGATAAATTTATTATATATCCCGCGGCGTACGATTCCTGGCTTTAGAGGGGGTTTTAAGCATGCAGCAGCCAAGATTTGGAATGATTTACCACCACCCTTGCATGGAAGTACGTCCCAAACTTTTAAGTCCAAACTAGGGAAAATATTTTTAACCGCTCAGAAGTAGGATGCTGAGTCACCCCAAGGTCATCTAAATATGATGTAAATTGCAGACATATTTTGTATCTATATGTCTCTTTCTCCTTCTCTCTCTCTCTCTCTCTCTCTCTCTCTCTTTCTCTCTCATAACTGTTGTGCTTTTGATTCATTTTTGTTGCCCTTCAAACATTTATTTTATTCCTTTTTGTTTTGTTTCTTATTCCACTTTTTATATTTAAAGAAATATATTTTATTTTCTGTTTCAAAATTGACAATCCCTATCAGTTTTTATTGTGTAAGTAAATTATTATTATTATTTTGTTTTCTTTTCTACTTTCACGCTCCTCATAGCTTGATTAATGATCTGTGCCAATTTTATTTCATAAATATCCTGTTACGCAAACGCGAGACCGTAGCTCCTGACAGGGAGGTTCTGATTGAAAATCAGTGGTTTGCACGGCGTATTATACTGAGCCCAGAATCCTCGCCACATTTTTATGATCATAGATATACTTTTGTATTTTTAGTTACCATTTACGACTATATGTAAGATTTTTCATTTGTATATTTTATGTTTTTTTTTGTATGTGGCAAACAAATGGCTTTGACTTTGAAATTATTTTTATGCCTTTTATTACTTTACCATAAGTATGTACCTATAACTCAAGAGGTCTGCTAATCTATATACTACAGATCGTAGCTCTGAAAAAGGTCAAAATGTCGTCATATATCCAGATGGCACTGATCAATGGCCTGGAAGTAGTTTATATTGTCTAAATAGCCATGAATATCAATTAATTCCTCTTTCATAAAATAATAATAACGTACACACTCAACATGGCCCCGCACAAGGGAAACCCTGTGTCGCGGGTGCCATGGAGACAAACATAGACAACCACAAATTACACCCAAACTCACGAAATAAATGTAGGCCATACAAATATTCCTCCCGGCCCGGGAATCGAACCTGGGACCTCTGCATGGCAGACCGGCATGGTAACTGTTCGGCCACAGAGGTAGTTAATATGAAATATAAGAAGTCAGTTTTTTCCTTCTTCAAATATTGATCATGAGCTAAAAATTTTTTCTGAACTTTTACAAATTTGCACATCAATAGATGGTATTGTGTGTTACAAACTAATTTATAAATTAACGCTTGCTAATAATCGACGCCTCCTACGTAAAGTATCGTATTTCGAAATTGCCAAGTTTACAGGAGAGTGGTTTAAAGTTCTCCGTTTCATTCGGCAAAGCTTGTTAGTCACATAGAGTGATTATAATAGATCATCTAACCGATATCTAGGATTTTATAATACTCTATGTGAGTAACGAGTTTTGCCGAATAAAAGTGAGAATTCTAAAGTCACGTGTTATGCTTATTTCAGTGAATTCAGAACTTTAAAAGGCTCCCTTATAAACTTGGCAATTTTGACATACGATACTTTACGTGGGAGGGGTCGATATGGGTAGATGGCGTCAATCCAAAACAAAATAAAAGAATAGCCGATAGTATCGATAAAAATCTGTGCAGTAAGCGCCATCTAGAAAATATGTTTGTTATCACTTGAAATTATGACTAATTGCTGCTCGTCAATGTTAAACAAATTAGTTACAAAAATAGCTATTCAGTACACGTCGCGACATCTGGTGAACCAATAGGTACTAAATAACCGACTACGCAGTCTTGTATCGCGTTTAGCTCTCTCGTTCTCGTAGTAGTTATCGTAGTTCTCTTGATTTATTAGTTCATGCCATGAGTCACCGAACTTTACTTTTTTTAACCGACTTCAAAAAAGGGAGGTTTTCAATTCCACTGTATGTTTGAGAAAAAATATTTTAATTGAAACTGACTCATGTAATTATCATTGCGCCTAAATTGCTGACCGACTTATTAAATCCATGTGTGCACGCTCATGTGATATTAGAAAAAATAACATGTTATTTATGTAGGTTTAGTCTGTTAAAAAGCATGCGAATAAATGTATAATTAATAACACTTTCAATACGTTTGCATTCCTAATGTTTGGCCGGGCACAGTGAAACTACTTATTTTGTACATGTCAACTTCCAAATAACCTGTGTTTTCACAAATAACTTAATTATGATTGTGATGTTTTGGTACCGATTGTACCCGATTTTGACGATTTTTTCTTTGTTGGAAAGAGGGTACCTCATTATTGGTCCCATTTAAATTTGGTGAAAATATTCCACCTCTAAGGGTGGCAAAGTACGGGATTAATCAGGTTTCGTGCACTTTCCGGTAATCGATTTCAATAAAACTTTGCAAATATATGTAATTCCCCAAACTTTTGAGGTCGGTTATTTTTTTATAAAAAGTTATACACATAATTATCAGGTGATGGGAGATCGGTGGTAAGCAACATGTCTATCCAAAACAGTTAAACTTTTAAATCGCAAAGATCTTATGGGGCACTGTAACTACATCTGTCACCCTAAGATTTATAAATTTTATATTGACAAGTTCCATGTACCTGTCATTTCAATAGCACTTATACAGGTGAGATAAAAAAATTACTGGCCATGTTGTTTCCTGTGCACAAGATTCAGTAATAGAACACATTAGTGAAATAAAACAAAAGAAAATTTCCCCATTTTTATCATGTTACTATTTCCCAATAATTTCTAACTTAAATAGTAAATAAAATTGAGCGATCATCGCCGAGTTGTCTAGACGCCTAGGTGTGAGCACGTCGCGCCGCGCGACGACAGACCTGCGCTAACGTATCGCGCGTTAGTTTAATACTTTGTTCTCTGTCAAATACATGAACTCGCGCGCTGACTCCTCCCACTGCCCCCACACCGTTCTTTTTGCTATAGCAACGGCGTTTGCTAATCATCGAGTGTTAATATTGTTCACAGTTTTTCGGAAAACTTTGAGACGTCACAACTTATTTATTTGTTAAGTATTTGAAAAAACACCGAACATGTATTTTTTAATTCCATTATACAGCATGCACCTTTAAAATGGTCAGTGTTTTTTTTTTATCAACCTGTACCAGAACACTGTAATGGTCATTTATAGGTTTGCACAAAGAATATGACATAAACATACCTGGATCATTGATGTCGACGAGCGAGTTTGACAGCACGTTCCTCTTGATGATGCTAGTGGGCGGCGGGTTTGATGACATACGCGATGGCGCAGCCGGCGCAGGGCATGACGGTGGTGGAGGTACTACCATGCTGTTACAGAAAACATTCTCAATTTCAGATTTTCTCCGCTAAGTTTTTTCGATTCATGTGCTGTTTAGATTACTTATTATCACAAGGTGAAGCAAAACATTGTGATGAAGCATTCGAAAAAGGAATAAACTGTTAATGATGTCAATAAAATTCTGTAAATTTAGTAGATGACTGCGTTTAAATAACTTCAACAATATTTTTTCAGTTTTTTTTATAATGTCAAGTGATAGAACGAACAAGTCGTGGGCGGGCCTGGTGTAAGCGGCACACCTATCCATAACCAGTTGCAGTGCCACTCAGAGCTTTAAAACGCAAAGATTGGAGGGGCACTGTAATTACGGCCATCACCCTGAGACATAAGTTGACAAGTCCCATTACAACAAGGAGAGGTATCCTAGGAGGATTTTCCGATGAAAAAAAAGCTAGCGACTATCTCACAGGTGGAGGTACGGAAAAAAAACCGTTGAAATTCAATGCAAAGATACCGCAACAAGCACAAAGAGAAATTTGCAAGATCTACTGGCTCGTAAGATCCGTTACTCAGTAGGTAACAGCGGCAGCCACGTTGAAGCTATAGAAGCTGGTTCAAGTCCAATCGGATCGAAGGATTTTTTCTTTGTATTTGTTTGATCTTTGTAACATTAAGAATATGTTTTATTATGATTAGTATTGACTGATTTTATTGTCACTGAATTGAAATTATTGACCTATTTATTAGATTTTTTTGCGCGCTTGTTCGACAACGTATAGTATTTAAAAAAGCTGAAATATGTGATACCTAATTTTCATGTCAGTAAATAGACAAAATGCCAGAAAAGACAATATGCCTTCAATATGGTACATGCATTGCACTACCCTTGGCCGGGCACAGCAAAAGTATTACATATTTATCAACTTATGTATTTTCACAAATAAAAAATTCATGAATAAGAGGAAAAAAACACACTCCGTTAAAAATTTCTTCCCATATACATCGGAAATAATTAGACACCAACATAAATTGGTGAAAATGTTTGTTGGAGCAATGACCTCCGTAGAGGGACTTACTTACCCGTGTACATGCATGTGATCCATACATTGTTGATGGTCAACATCAACGTCTGCTACTCCACTGTCACGGTTTTCCATCACTGTAGGAAAATAATTATAATTAATTAATTTATAAAAAAACTATCACCGCGTTTAAATTAATGACTGACTTATTAAATCCATGTATGCAAGCCCATGTGATATTATTAAAAAATATGTTACACCTAGTTTAATCTGTTGAATTGCATGTGATTAAATGTATAATAATATTAATAATATACCTTCAATATGTTTGTATGCCTAACTTTTGACCGGACACAGTGAAACTATACGTACTTTTGGCCGACTTTAAAAAAAGGAGAAGGTTCTCAATTCAACTGTATTTTTTTTAAGGAAACAAAAAACTAAATTCGAAAAGAATAACACAAACTGCGTGAAAAAAGAAAAAAAAACAGAACAGATTAGAAAATTAAATTGGCATAGTGTTCATTGGAGGCAGTGTTAAATAACACAAGGAATATCTTAATATTTCAACTAAAAATTAAAGGGATTCACACTTTAAGGCATCATTGGCGTATCAGGCAAGTTAATGTAAAACACTTTAACTTTAAAGCGTCAGAGGCGATCAAAGTGTTAAGATTTAACTGCCTCCGTGGCCGAACGGTTACCATGCCGAAATGCCACGCAGAGGTCCCAGGTTCGATTCCCGGGCAGGGAGAAATAGTTGTATGGCCTACAATTATTTCTCTCGTGAGTTTGGGTGTAATTTGTGGTTGTCTATGTGTGTGTCCATGGCACCCGCGACACAGGATTTTCCCTAGTGCGGGGTTATGTTGAGTGTGTGCGTTATTTATTTAGTGTGTGCGTTATTTTGTATTTTGTTTGGACCTATTATAAGATGGGATACGTGCATTTGCTAATTTTTTATAGCAATATTGGCAATGTATCACATTATCGGTGGTAATCACAACCCTTGGTAAACGTGTAGCGGACCCCTCCACTTTCTGTCTTCACGTCCTAGAAATGTATGAGTTCATAAGCAAGGTGTTATAGGTTTGTATCTCTTACCATTCCGCGCCGAACCACCGGCACTACGTCCCTTGCCCCTGCTGAGCTCTCCCTCGATCCTCATAGCATCCATCTCATCCATCTCTGCGATGCTCTCGCGCAGGTCTTCGGCGAACTTGCATCGGTCGTGTTCGTTGCGTGCGTTGAACGTCGCAAGACGACGTCCATCAACTCGTCGGGAAAGGCGAATGCCGAATGGATAGTCTGAAATAGGAATAAATAAGTTAAATTTACTTCTAAGCCAAACAAGTCACGTATAGTTTTGTAGGACTACGTTTAATTCAGAAAACTGTACCCTATTTAAATTCTAAAAAAAATAAGTTAGCTCGTAATAGAGAAACTTACTTCATCGACTTAAACCAATAACAGTGAAATACATGTAGGATGACAACACTATGCGTGTGAGCGGGAAAGTATGTGTGAGAGGGAAGGAAGACGAATGGCGCGAGAGAACTTAAGACGTGTACAGGAGTTTCTTTTAAAATATAAAATAATTTGTTTTACTGCGAATTCGCTTTCATTTCAAGCCACCACCCCACATTAAATTGAAATAAGACCGGTGAAATTAAGTTGGTCCCGCGCCATGGGCAATTCTCTAGTACCGAGAGATCAAAGTAAGAATATTAAAATAATTTACTAATAATACGAGTACATAAAATGATACTTACGCGGCATAGAGAACAGGTTGACCACCATGCCACAGAGCGGGAACGACTGTCGGAACGTATACGTCACAGAAGACTTCTTCTTGCTAAAGATCTTCGTGATCACCAGCAGGTCGTTAAATAAGAATACCTGTGAAAGAATAGGTTGTCAAATATAAGATTAACTCTAGAATTTTCATGAGCTCACCAAAACGCTTCCAATCAAAATTATCGATGCTGTGGAAGTCTAAAAATATCTGATCATTATTATTGATACAAAGATCGAACAAAGTCAAAGAAAATTCCTTCGATGTGATTGAACTTGAACCAACGTCTGCCGCCTTAACGTGGCTACCGCTTTAACAACTGAACTACGGATAGATCCGGCTGGATTCGAACCAACGTCTTCTAGTAAGCCGTGCTAGACACTATGCCAACTAAGCCACAGAAAGACCCAGCGGACCTTACGAATTATGTGCTTGTTGCAGATCTTTTGTTTTGTTTTTTAACGACTTTTTCCCGTAACGCCATTTGTGAGAATTCTATATCACACACGGTTCTGGCGATGATTTCAATCCTGAAGACACTAGTCCGAATCTAGCAGCATCGACGGAATTTTTCTTAGTGTTTTGATCTTTGTTTTAATAATTGTAAGAAACTAGTGGAGCAATTTCACAAAAAAAATACTAAATTCTGTGTGCTTGTTGAGGATCTTGGTATTGAGTTTAAACGGCTTTTTTGCCATAGTACCACCTGTGAGAACTTATGAAGGATTCTTCGCTTAGCCAGGTACCTTTATAGCTACCAGAAGATTTACAGAGATGTGGCTATATTAATTACAATGCTCATTTTTATTGAATATCACAATGTTTTTACTACAATGGTATTCAACTATTTTTTGAGAATAAACTCCAGTGGTTGCTATTGACACTTTAACTGATAATTTAATAAAAAATCAACTATAATTCGTGTAAAACAATTGAAAGTGCCGCTTAAAGTCAATGCAATAAGGATTTGTTTTGAGTCTTTACACACCAACCAGGCTGTACACATAGTAGAAATAAGAAGTTACCTCTCTCTGATGCACTCCTGGGCGTTCCTTCTTATGTATATCGGTTATTTCATAGAGCCTGCAGTAGCACACCAATCGCCTATGGGGTAACGCAAGGTGCGGTTTCTTCCCTACTATTGTAGCCTGGACTTTCATCACCTGAAAAATATGCATTTTTTTATAATACTAAGTGACGGGACGAACAAGTCGTGTGTCTGGTGGTAAGCGACACGCCTGTTCCTAACAGTTGCAGTGCCACTCAGAGCTTTAAATCACAAAGATCTGAGGGGCACTGACACGGCGCCCGAGACCCTGAGACATAAGTTGACAAGTCCCAAGTGCCGATAATTTCACCAGCACGCCTACCTTTCAAAACCGGTAGTAATGCTCACTCACATTACTGCTTGGCGGCAAAAATAGGTAAGGTGGCAGTACTTCCTTGGACAAACTCTTTCACTAGGAGCTCCACTGCTTCTAAATTATTTTAAATTAAGTATTTCCATGGTTTTAAACCGTTAGCGTCACCTTGCGTACGAGATAGTTGCTTTGGTAGATTATGTCTTATCTATAATCTTTTATACGTATAATGCCAATCAGTTATTTTAAGTGTTATTGTTGATAAGTGTTTTAGTTATTACAAAGCCACGCCGTAGTATCTTTAGCTCTGTCCATAATTTCAAAATTCGAATTAACGTCTATGAGTCGTATTCTAGAACTCTACTCAATGATCAAGTCAGGATTGCAATTGAAACACAAGCACTGGAAATACGACCCTAATGGCAGGGACTTGAGTATGATTTCGAGTGCTTTAAGCCATACTCAAATCCTGACTTGAGCATTGAGTAGAGTTCTAGAATACAACCCTTAGTCCGTTGCGATGTTGGGATTAAATGACAATACTTAGTGGTCGGATTTATTCTGTATAAAATTACAATCTGATTTGTTTATATAATGTGAATCTGTGAGAGTATGAGTATAGCGCAGCTCACACTACACTGGTGATCGTGACATGACACGATAACACCACCCGCATCTCTCCAGTCGTACCTAATCGAGCTCTTAAATTTTCGCGATTGTTACACATAGCAATAGCACCAACCCATCCCAATCCCATGGTCACGGTTGACGTTGGTTTGTTTGAGAAAACAAATATACGCGATTTAAATCCGGAAAAATAGTTTTATTTCCTATAAAAATACTTGTTCTTGCGAACGCAATTCGACCATTATAATTAAAAAAAAAATAGAAATAACCAACAGCTACCTGTGTAACGTGATCACTGCCAGGTCTGAACTCGCTAGACTTCACCCTATCGTAAATGCCGACTAGCATATCTCGATCCAGGTCCCCGCAATCATCAATGCCGCGTAGATTGCGAATGAAATCGTCAAGAGACATTCGTGCTTCAGGTTTGAGGTTTGGCGTGTGCAGGTCTGTGTTCAACATTATTATCGCGAATGCGAGGACAAATATCTGTTGGAAAAAGTAAACAATAGTTAAATCAAATATTTAAACGAGTAGAGTTAACCATGAGAATCTAACTAGAAAAACATAACTTTAAGAAGGCTTTTTTCCTTCGTAGCTCAAGACTTCGCAACCAGAATATAATTTGGCGGTCACGCCTTAAGTGTTAATGCGATTTTTGTATTTTTTGCTTGTTTTAAATGAGATCGAGTTCCAATAGCGGTCAGTACGAGGTCAGAAAGAGGGTAAGCACAACAATAACCCGCATCTCTCACTCTACGCAAGTGAGGCATGCCCTTCTCGGTCTCAGTAACAGCTTCTCAGTACGTTATATGTAACAACTCAACTCAAAAATTATAGAAAAATACCTTATTTCGCTGCTTTGGAGGGCAAAAATGACAGTCGCACTAGCTTTAGTATTAATTTAGTAGTGTTTCTATCATCATAATCTTATTTTATTTAATTTTATTAAACTATAATTTTCTGTTTATCGTAATGACATTTTTTTTTACAAGAAATTAAAGTAAACCTTATAACGCTGCAATATGGTCGCATCTTGGTCGAATAATTTAGTAAACATACCGAATTCGTAATAGTTTGGATGTTAACCGCTAGATAGCAGCACATTGATTGAAATTTCAATATAAAATCAAAAAGTAACTTGCAATAATAGGTGTTGATGTTATTGAACATTCAACGATCTGCCACCAGAGAGTAAAGTTTCAATTATATTAACAGTCTAGAATGTGTTATTTCTTTTAAATTTTAAACTATGACCAATCATTATCAAAATTTCATAGTGTTTCAAATTATGAATGCGTGAGTTTTGGCGACAGCGGTTCTGATAGTAATCGAGGAGTAAGGCACTTCCATTGCTTTTTCTTCCGTGGTTACGGCAGTTAGCCAGGAGGGAGATTATTATGGATTAGTTATTATCAAATGTTTTTGTACAGTCTACAATTTGTTTGGCGATTTTAAGTTAAATCTGACTACTAACCGTATCTTGTGTCCTCAACCGTTGCACCAAATCTGGGTTACAGACGCAATAGCGTCTTGCGAACGCTTCAACGAGTCTTTCGATCTTTTGCGCTTCACCGGGCAGTCTGAAATGTGCCTGGTACCGGCGCAGGGCCACGTCCACGGCCATACCAGAGAGATCTAGCTCATTTACGAAACATCTGAAAGAATAGCATTGTTTTAGAATTGTTATACACAGACCGAGAATATGTAGAAATGTATTAGTTAAAGTCAAATAATCATTTATTCCATAAAATAAAAAAAGGTAAAATTGTTAAACTTGAAAACGTCATTTCTTAAGCTACTGCTCGTTTATTGTGCTGACTTCTCTGAGAAGAACGAGCAAGAAACTGTAGAGATTGCTCTTTTCAAATAAACTTAAATGTAGAATACACTTTGAATCATGTTTGTGTGGAATCTATTATGTGATATATTTACTCAGGTTAATATTCTCGTCAGAAGTTATCAATATACATTTTGATAGATTGTAGTTGAGTTCGACGAAAATATGCGATTTCTTGTGAGATCTAACATTAAGGTAGTTTTTAATTGTATTATTAGCTAATTCATGTGCGATAAAATTATGCTGTCAGCTAGCACCTTACAATAAATACTAAAAACTCGAATACATCAGAGGCCTGAGTACTAATTTGTAATCATTCAAACTTAACTACCGCGCTTGCGTTAAGATTTTTATTGAAATCTTAATCATATATATATAAGGTTTAAATTAAAATCTTAACGCAAACGCGATAGTTAAGTATACGTACACTAAGGCCTCAGAAGTTTGATCTTTAGAAAACGTTACGTAAAGGTCAGGGAAAAGAGTATAAAAACTATAAACTTTTTTTAAACGACTTACTCAAGCACAGCCATATTGAACGGGTTCTGCAGATTGCCCAAGTATTCTCCAATCATCTGCTTGCTCAATCCCTTGCGAGTGATGAGGAACCTGGCGACACCTCGTGGGGAGTTCTCGAGGAAACCACGCGAGATCAGGTACGCGATACCACGCTCGGGTTTCTTGTTAAACAAGTTCAAGCCAACTCTGTATTGGCGTTTACGGACTGTCTCTGACACCTGGAATCGCATAAATCGGAATAAATAAAACTATTTTAATTTCCATACGAAAATGACAATTCATATAATTACTAACACAACGATCAAATACTAAGAAAAATTCCATTTGACCCAGCGCCTTCATCATATCGTGTCTGACGCTCTCCCAACTGAGGTACGGAACGAACCAACAGCACTTACTATTTTTTCTACGTGCTTATTGCAGATCTTTGTTTTTGGTTTATGGGAACTTTTTTGTCGTAGCGCCATCTATGAGAAATCTGTGAGTCTTTCTTTATGCACGGTACGCTGAAGAATTCTAGGGAATTAAGAAATGAAGGAATTTTTCTTAATGTTCGATCGTTTTCTTAAAGTTCCATTTACTATGTACAAATAAAAATCGCTTCCATTCAAATACGCAGAACTTTAAATTGAGCGTTAACAGTGAGCAGCCAAAGCCTCATCATTTTCGAGTACTTTCGTACCTTCAAAGGCTGAGTAGCATTATGATGAGGGTGTTGAGGGCGACAGCAGGCAGCAGGCGCGGGAGGGGCTTCGTAATAGGGTGGCGCGTCCTGCCTCTTCCACACGGCGTAACGGTCGGGACCTTCGAACAGGGTTCCAGAGGCAGTACGTTGGTGCTGTTGGAAGTGCTGTTCTTGGATGTGCACGTGAGGTTCCTGTGCAGACAAATACTTGTATAAGGGAAGGGTTTGTTTTATAATGCATTATAAAGGAATATATTAAAAAGTTGAGGATTATGTATGGATGCGCAGTAAAATTATATTTTTCAAAAAAATGTATATAGACAACACACAGACATTAACTAGACATGAAGTAAGTCACGCAGAGGAAATAAGATACTATACAAAAGTGTAGCAATGTGTCGTCATTCACTTCCTTTTTGGAAGCATACAGGTGATATTTCTTTTTTACAGTAACTTTACTATGAATAAATACCTTTAATGCGGTATTTTATCACTTGATACAGATTTCATTTCAAGATATACTTACAAAGCCCATTGAACGTCGCTTTGCTTTGCTTAACATAACATATTATATTTATTATGTAGCATATTTTTGAAGGTATTATTTGATTACCACCCCTTTTGCATATCCAAAATATTTATCCTAAGGTTGCTTGGAAAAAAACGCTACATAGCAATACGGCCATCTGTTGTACATTTATTTACTATTTTTATTCTTATGTTACTGTTGTGTAGCCACTGTAATTTTATATGCAGTCAGGAGCATTTCATTCATTCCTTCGTTCACTCACGTAATTACATACAGGTGAAGAAAAAAATTGTTTCCATCATTTATATAGCATCAGGTTTATTAAATAAAAATACGTAGTTTTTAAATATTTTAATTACACATGTATGTATGTACACTACGTATTTTTATTTAATAAACAGATGCTTTATAAATTATTTTTTCTTCACCTGTAAAGTTGTCAAAATTGAGATAGTACCGGTTGCCATTTCACAGTCCATTTGAGATAGTTAGTGTCTATGCATTGTTGCTAGTAACCGACAGTTATTAGCATTTAGCATTTCCATATTCGAATAAACCCTTAATATAGGCGTTTATAAATAAATAATAATAAATAACGCACACACTCAACATAGCCCCGCACTAGGGAAACCCTGTGTCGCGGGTGCCATGGACACACAATAGACAACCACAAATTACACCCAAACTCACGAGAGAAATAATTGTAGGCCATACAACTATTTCTCCCGGCCCGGGAACCGAACCTGGGACCTCTGCGTGGCAGTCCGGCATGGTATCCGTTCGGCTACGAAGGCAGTTAAAGGTTTAGGAAAGGACGAATGGAGGAATCGTCAAAAAGATCTTTTTGCAGTTAAAAAAAAACTAGACACACTCGGTTCGTGGCCATGTAAATAGTGATGCAGTAATTGTACTTACTTGTGCTCTAGGCTGGTAAGGTTGGTGGTAGTGATGGCGGTGTTCCTGTGACGATGAGGAGGAAGAGGACTGAACAGAGGACATAGATCCTCCGCGCACCACCGCTCCGCACTCCGCTCGGCGTAGCGACACTGGACTCTCGGCACTGGAAATATTGTTTAAATTTGCACGATCTTAATGCTGTTAAAGTATAGAAAATTAATCGGAATAAATATATATATAAAGTCACAGCCGTCTTTCAGATCGAGGTTTAAAAAGAGCCAAAAACCTGTTTCAATAACAGGAGACTTGTGATCTTATGTCTTATGGACCATAATGCCTATATAGGTCGCGGTTACTACTTTCCATCAGTTTTCGCACAGATAATGCAATATCTCGCGCTTCTATGTCGGTCTCGCGCATGTCTCGCTCCGTCGCTAGTCCTACAGTCAGACCATTCGAGTGTTTGTCCGTTTGTGTATCATAAAAAAGACTATAGTGGCTGAAAGTTCATCAATAATTTGATGATACACAATAAATAAATACATTAAACATGTAACTTTTATAATTTTTACAGACTTAAAAAAGGAGGAGGTTCTCAATTCGAGTGTTTTTTTTGTGTGTGTACGTTACGCGATTACTCACGATTTAAAGATTATTTTTTGTTGGAAAGAGGGTACCTCAGTATTGGTTCCATTTAATTTGAAGAAAATATTCCACCTCTAAGGGTGGGAAACTAGGGGATGAATCCAGTTTCGCGCACTTCCCGGTAACCGATTTCAATAAAACTTGGCAAATAGATGTAATTCCACATACGAGGTCTTTTTTTTCATAAAAATCTTATAATTATCTAATATTTGATGTTACTATTCTTACAAATACATATTATCATGTCTGTTTCTCATTGGACCACCTCTTCCTACTATCCAGCACATGCAACCGAGACCTTGACTGTATGAAGTTGATAACGACTTCGTGCATTAACCACACGCAGTCGATCTCGACTGCATGCAGTTATTATCCGAGACCTCGAATGCATGAAGTTGATAACGACCAACAATCTGTTAGCAGCCTTAAGTTCATTTTCCAAAATGTTCCTATCACTAATCGAACCTCATCAAGTGCCCACAGTGCAAACTGTTGGGTCACCGAGGTCGTCAGTGGTATAATAAGCAGGATAATTTGCACTAACAAAGCGAAGAACGTTTCTAATACTTAAATTATAACTTACTTGAGAGTAATACTGCTAGTTCTCTTCGGAATCTCAGGTGGTAAACGCCTCGCGGCGGCGGCGGCAGCTGCGGCCTGCGCGGCCGCCAGCTGTTGCTGCCGGGTGGCCGGCGATGATAGCGGCTTGCCGCCAGATGATAGCAGGTTGCCGTAAATTGGACCTGCAATATTAAATTTGTACATGAAATAACTTTAAAACAGTTCAAAACGGTAGAGGAAACCAATAAGTCATTTTAAGACGAGTTCATTGAAAAATCGGTTCGAAGCAAAGTGGAAGGTAATTGTAGACGAATATATGTTCAATTCCCTGAACCCCAAAGACACAATACACATTGGTGTTTACTATACAGAGCTTTAAATCGCAAAGATCTAAGGGGCACTGCGACTGCGCCCATCACTTTGAAACATAAGTTGACAAGTCCCATGTGTCTGTAATTTCACCAGCCCCCTAACCCTTCAAAACCGGAAAGCAGTTATGCTGACATTACTGCTTGCCGACAGAAATAAATAAGATGGTGATCTACGGCTACTAAAATGTAACTCAGGTACAAGTTTTCTTTCAGATATAAAGTAAAAGAACATTTTCCATGTACCACCGACTGGAATGCATCATTTCCTCTAATTTTTAATCGAACTTTGTGAATAAACGAAGTTTTTATTGAATGTCAAAATGTTTCACGACCATGATTTTAAATTATTTTTTTGTGAAAATACTCGAGTAGTTTGTTATAATTAATAATACAAAAATCGAGCACTTAAAAAAAAATTATTCGATCCGGCCGGATTCGAACCGTGTCGTCTCCTAGCAAATCGTGTCAGACGCTATGCCAACTAATAAACTGAAGAAACTTTATTCCATGAGTTGTTAAGAGGAACGCATGCCACATAATTAACATCATATTATTACTTATTAAGATTATAAACTGACTGACCAAAAAGTACATGATACATAAGATAGATAAAGATATGTTTACATATTTGCTTCCAATGAAAATACTAACCTGAATTGTTTAACAGCTGGTGATTATGCAGAGATTCATTGTGAGATGACGACGTCGAAATGTTCGTCACGGAACCACTCACTGAGCAACTGCATACCTGCAAAAGAAGATATAGAACGTTTTATTGCGCAGACACAAGAAGGGCAGCACAATTACGTTGGAAAGATAGGAAATGAAAGTATTTTTCGTCGGTTTGTTTGAAAAAAGAAACAAATATACTCGATTTAAATCCGGAAAATTAGTTTCATTTCCTATGTGTAACAATCGCGAAAACCTAAGAACTCGATATACATTGGAATTAATTAGATTTTTTTTATAAACATACAGGGCTTATATTTTCTCAATGTCCCTCGGCAAACTTCGTGTTTCAGCTGTGTCGTCGGGTTTTATTCAGTTGCCCTTTGCCTTTGGTACAGACTGGACGCTTTCAGTCGACTTGGAAGTATATAGAGTTGCTATTACATTTTTTATTTATTATACAATGGGAGGAAAGCCGCTAAAGTCACCCGCATGACAGATAAATTACAGCGTGTACTTATATTTTTTCAAGAAGCTGATACGTTCAAGAAAGACAACATTGATTTTTTTTAAATCCAAAAATGTGTTTCTGTAGCTTGTGGTGTTTCAATCGGAACAGTCAAGAATTTTTAAAAAGAATATGATGTAAAAAGATAAATTAGTTCCTTTTGAACAACTGTTTGAACCGTACATGGACAATTTTATAACAAATACCTGTTCGAGCAGCGCGGAAAGTGATTATTCCATCGATGGCGAACATAATAACATAGCAATGTTAGACGAAGAAATGCTTTCAGAAACAAACTGAATTGAAATGACTAATAACCGGAAAAATATTCGGTTTTAGTTATATAAAAGAAGGACACTGTATTTATTTTTGTTAACTTGCTTATTGACATGGAGTAAATGTTATTAAAAATAGGGACTTAGTTTTACAGCTATATATAGTTCACACGGATATCGAAACAAAACAACAATAAAGTACGTAGTTCAAATTATTATAGATTTTAAATCCGATCATTAATGGGCATGGTAATTAATATTCGTATCATTCGGAAATCCGATGATTGCCAAGTGATATTGAGAAAATGGAAGCACAGTATAAATGTGCATTTAACCTCCACCTCACCTAATGATAAGTGACGATGAGGTAAACGATAGAGCACCCACATTTAAATAATGCCTATTCATTCTCGCCTTGAAAAGTCCCAATAACGTTCTGGGAATAAGTATGCAGGCAGGGAATTCCACTCAATAGCCATTCGCCATATAAATGTGGAAACGCTTCGAGCGAATCCTTGGAATATCCACAACATTGGGGTGGAAGCCATGGCACATTCTCCGTGATATATCCTGTAGGATATTTTCAATTATCAAAATTTTACAAACGATACAAACCTTATCTCTGCCAAAACACCAAAGATAAAGCCACTTTATTTTACTCTTAATTGGGTTTTTATTCTTTCCTTCAGATTTTAATACACCTCGCTTTCTAGTCATTTTCACATTTAAATAGTTAATTTATAAGATTTTATCACTTTTTCGACGTCGTACTGGTTTAAAGTCTCGGAGATAACTGATAACAGGAAGATGACATCAGTAATGAACTAAGCCTTAATTACACATTTACGAACAGTTTGTTTGACGAGTTTTAAAAGTAATTGTCTGCATAGTTAACCTAGCTAAAGCGACAATTTCTATATTTGTTAATTCTAAACTAACTTATTTTTATATACTTTCCATACATTCTTACATGTATGTTATGTTTACACCACAAATTTAAATACGTTATAAAATTAATATTTTAATTATAAAAAGATTATAAATTTATTGATGATTCATAAGAAAAATTTTTTTCGTGATTCGGACCTTATCTCTGCCAAAACACCAAAGAGAAATCCGTTTTATTTTATTCTTAATATAATTTCTATTTTTTCCATCAGATTTTATATACCTTTTTTTATTTTTATTAACGCCCAAACTCATAGACTCGCATCAGGGAAACCTTGTGACTTAGTGTATAGTTTGTGGTAGACAACCACAAACTATACACTAAGTCACGAGAAAAATAAATGTAGGCCATACAAAAATTTCCCCCGGCCCGGGAATCGAACCCGGGATCTCTGCGTGGCAGTCCAGTCCAGTGGTAGACAACCACAAACTATACACTAAGTCACGAGAAAAATAAATGTAGGCCATACAAAAATTTCCCCCGGCCCGGGAATCGAACCCGGGATCTCTGCGTGGCAGTTCAGCATGGTAACCGTTCGGCCACGGAGGCAGTTTCGGCAAGGAGGAGACACCTTTTAAACACCTCGTTTTCTAAAGCAATGTTTATTAAATATTGTTATCATAACAATATTGTTGTTAAAAAATTAAATTTCTTTCGATATAAACACAGTGTTAAAATGATTTCAAAATGTATATATAATAAATAATGTTGCCCACAACATAACTCTACTTCGAATGAATTCACAAAACCTTTGCGTAGAAATATAACTAGTCGTGACGACTGTACATGAAGTTAGATATGCAAATATTGTAAATGACATTAAAATATGTCCACATGATTCAGAAATAAAAACAGAACACATTTGAACAAATAATGTAAGAAACGTCGCGTCTGTCGACAATTAGTAAACGTTCTTTGTGAATTCCTTCTTAGCAAGTCATTTTAATGAATTGCAATTTAATTCATATTAAAATAAAAGCTGAGAAACTTATATAATGCTATTAACGACGGTATGTGATGACTCATGAGAGAGATGATATACTGCAGGTTCGATAGAAGATGGAACATAAGGGAGCTGAAATGGAGTCGGCAAATTATATTCCTAACGTGAGATTACAGTGTTTTTAGCTGGTATTTGTAAGCAAAATTTCATGTTCTTTGTGTGACCGCTAGGGGCGCTGTATACTTTGTAAAGTAAAATCTATTGGGAATACTAAATGAAAAATCTCATAGTAGAGGCACTGGTTACTTGGTCACGTGGGCTCGCAACTGGCAATCAAGAGACAAGACAAGGAAAGCGGAGGCCCAGTTGGAGCAGCACCTTATGTCAAGGATTTTTTTCAATGCATTGGGTAGCTATGCGTTGACATGAAGACAATTAAGGGACACAGTAACCTTTCCTGCTACGATCCTGAAATATGGCAAATAGATTGGACTTTCCGGAAATTGAACCCGGGACCTTCTCATTACGCGCCCATAATGCTAACTGCACCACCGACCGCTATCAAGGTTAAATCGTCTTTTTAACCGACTTTACTCCGGCATTGAAGAACCGATTTTGATGATTCTTTTTTGTTGGAAAAAGGGTACCTCATTGTTGGTCCTATTTAAATTTGAAGAAAATATTTCACGTCTAAGGGTGGCAAACTAGGGGATAAATCCGGTTTCACGCACTTTCCGGTAATCGATATATACAAAACTTGGCAAATAGATGTAATTCCACGAACTTTTGAGGTCGGCTTTTTTTTTACAAAAAAGTTATTAGTTGAATACTCCTTGTTAATTAGGCAAGATCAACTCGATCAACACAGCTAATTCTGAATGCATAATTGGGTTTGGTTCATAGACATACAGAAAGTTTAACCGCATTGCAACGACATATTTCGTTTAATAGGTATGCTGTACCTATGTATAATAAAAATATATATTTTTATAATATTAAGTGACGGGACAACAAGTCGTGCGCCTAAAGGTAAAACAATTGCTGTTTTGTACTTCCCTGGACGAACGCTTTCACAAGGACTTCGTCCACAGAAGTATCAGGGAAGTCCAGGGTAATAATAATCAATAAATCAACTAACCCCACTGTCGGCGTCATTACGGTGATGCGGCAGGTCCTGTGCGATCATGTGAATCTGGTGGGCTGACTGCTGGACACGTGCCATCATGGCGTCCACTTCTTGGCTTTCACATTGCATGTGGTTACTGAAAAAGACAATACCGATACAGTTTAAAAAAGGTATAAAAATAATCCTGACTACGAATTGCAGTCATGACACTTATGTTCAAATAACACCACAATATATAATTAAAACTATTATTTGTTTTTTAACCGACTTTAACAAAGGAGGTTCTCAATTCGACAGAATTTATTTGTGTGTAAGTAAGAATAATATAGTAAGAATATGTTCTATCTATATTAGGGGATGAATTTGGTTTATTGAATTTCACTCACTCGGAAAGTTGGAAGTCTTGATCCATAGATTTTCGTATTTCATTTGTCACTCTATGCACTTGTTCAATAGTAGAGTGGTTTCTTCGAAAACCGAATTGGTGATTTATAACTAGATTCCTGGATTGAATTATAAGTCTCATTATATCGACCAGCATCCTTTGAAATATTTTAGACAGCACAGGGAGTAAGCTAATTCGTCTATAAGGTGTGATGTCACCAGGATTCTTTCCCGGTTTAGGTACTATAACTATTTGGGATATCTTCCACTGTAATGGAAAGTATCCCACTCTTAAAGTACTATTGAGAAGCATGGTTAAGAAAACAATGCCTCTACGCGACAAATTTTTTAATATTAGCGGAGTTATTAAGTCGTAGCCCGGAGCTTTATGACTGTCGAGATGTTTAATACGTGTAGCAACCTCCTTTGGTGTAAAAGATATAATTTTAATAAAACTTGGTCCATAGGTGTAATTCGAATGAAAAGTGTTATGGTAATAAGTTACCAAGCTTGTCTGATAATGAAAATGACACACAGATGAGAGAAACTCGACATAGTACAGCAGCTACCTTGTGTTTGGGCTTATATGATTCGTTTTGACGAGGAGTTCCATTTGGGGTTCAAATGTCGTTGAGGAGACCGTGGCAATGGACACAGTGAAAGCGGATAAACAAAGACTTGAAATCGTTTTTTTTTTTTAATTATTAATCGTGTGGTTTAGTCAGCAAGATCGTACCTACTGTCCCACCCACAAATTCTGATAAGACGAGACGCCTGCAAATTTATTATTCTTTTAAAAATAAAACGCATGTTTATGATAGTTACCAAATATTTAGTAATAAAAAAAAATAAATGGATGTAAAAAAATTTTAACGATCAAAAATTTAAACACTACTAATCTTGTGTAGTCTAGTGGGCTGATTTATATTTTTCGCTTTGGCGCCGTTATAGAAAAAAATATGGTCGTATGGATGTATGGTCACGTTAGATTTAACTGCCTCCGTGGCCGAACGGTTACCATGCCGGACTGCCACGCAAAGGTCTCAGGTTCGATTCCCGGGCCGGGCGAAATATTTGTATGACCTACATTTATTTCTCTCGTGAGTTTGGGTGTAATTTGTGTGTGTCCATGACACCCGCGACACAGGGTTTCCCTAGTGCTATGTTGAGGCTGGGGCAATGTTGAGTGTGTGCGTTATTATTGCTATTATTATTATTATTATTATTATTATTATCGTATTTATTTTAAACTCTCGCCTCTCCCAAGGCCTTATTATTATTATTATTATTATAGATAAGATGCCTCGTAAAGTTTTTGTTTCACTATAGACTTAATTTTAAATTTTATTTTAATTTTGAATTACATCAGGAATTTTATTATAGAAGTGCCCTTTGACTGAATTTCTGACTTTATGAAGTCAAGAACACCCAGTCACTTTAATGTTTATACGTGCATAGAAAACCTGAATCGAAGTAGGTAATAGCTTTCCCCGTCATACTTATTACGTCCTTTTATGTCTGCTAAATGGAGTGTTGCGTATGTGACCTGCCCGTTGTCCCTTTGCACTATCTGTTACGTCATAATAAACTTACTTCATATCAATATCATGTCGCTCCCGCAGCGACATGGAGCGCATGGGTCTGGTGAGAGCCAGAACCTTCTCGGCGCCGCCTGGACTCTTCTGTATTAGCGAGTTTGCGTAGATGTCGTTGCCACCTGGAAAATATAATAATTATATAAATAAATAAAATAATAATGCTGTCCTTATCATAAACAACGAAATGGACATTTTTAGCGAAATTGAGTAATTAACAAATCTGGATTCAGCGAAACAAGATCTACAAGCCCTTATAAGCAGTTTTTTTAATATCTTATTCAGTTTCAGTTTTATTCTTAAGCAAAATCAGCTTAATATTATTTTTAAAGAATACTTTAGGCGCCAATATTTCGAAAGTTACAAAAATGCAAATGCATTGTTTATGACAATGAGAGAATATATTGACAACTCTATAGCTCAACGGTTTGCTCCGAGGGCGCTGGAAGAGGAGGTCTCGAGTTCGATTCGCGGTTGGACCAATTTGGTAAATGAATTTTTCTGATTAGTTCTAGACTGCGAGTTCTGCATAGTGCACAGTGAATTCCCTGGTTTGAGAATAGGTTTTTATAACTGACTTCAAAAAAGGAGGAGGTTCTCAATACGACTGTAATTCTTTTTGTGTATGTTACTCGCGTATATACTCGCGATTTGTGAACCACTTTTGATGATTCCTTTTTTGTTGGACAGAGGGTACCTCAGTATTGGTTCCATTTACGTTTGAAGGCGAATTTCTACCGCCATGCAGTAATGTGAGCATTAGTGCGTTTCGTTTTTGAAGGGTAAGGGTGCTGGTGAAATTACAGACATATGAGACTTATGTCAATTACGTCTCAGGGTAACAGGCTCAGTGACCATGTCCCTCAGACCTTTGCAATTTAAAGCTCTGAGGGCACTGTAACTGCTATGGACAGGCGTGTCGTTTAAAGTGGTAAGGGACACGCATATCCATACCACTTGCAGTGCCACTCAGAGCCTTAAATCACAAAGATCTTAGAGGCACTGCCACTACGCCCGTTATCTTGACACATAAGTCGACACGTCTTATGTGCCAGTAATTTCTCCAGCACCCTTACCCTTCAAAATCGAAACACAGCAATGCTTACATAACTGCTTGGTGGGAGTACTTCCCTGGACAAACTCTTTCACAAGGAGCTCTACCGCACTTGGTATCATAATAAAAAATACTATCTTACCATTGACTAGTTGGTGATCCTGGCCATCCTGTAGCCTGCGTGCGTTAGAATCGGCAGCCTTCGCCATCGCTGTGATGGCGCTGAACTTCTTCAACAACTGCCTCCTTCGGAACGCTCTCTGAATCGTGACTGCAGCTCTTCTGGCTCTGAGACCTCCGTACCTTCTTTCTAATATCTCCACTTGTTTATCGAGAAGGTCTTGGGACATCTCATATCGGCTGAAAGTGGATATAAAAATATTAGTTCCTTGTTTGCTTTGAATAAGAGCTACCATTGATACATTTTGAAGTTTGAGCCCATATATTCGGAATTTCAAATTAATCATATTCTGTCACATTGAAACCATTTATTTCCACACTAATTACATAATAAATAAAGTAGACAAGAATATTTAAATTATATATACATATTTTGTGTACGGGGGGCAGTTTCAGCATAAATTGAGCGGCAGAAATCGCTCAGCAATTTTTTCAGACTTTGCAAAGGTATTTGTATTGTGAACCTGTTTCGGAAAGCTCCTTAATATATATTACCTACAAGGTGTACATATCGCAGCATATGACAGAAAATTTCGTATCAGGAATTCCCAAAATATGCGACCAGGTTTAGAAGGCACAAAGTCAAGCATAGCTGACAAATGTAAAGTCCCTTCTACACAGTCAAGCATCTTCTCATATATTGCATTCGGCTTGAACGGGTCAGATATCCGTCCAAGACAATTACTGTCAAATAGATAGATAAAAACTTTATTCACTTCCATGACATCTTATTCACATAGGATCCACTAAAACTAACACCATATTATTATCTTGAACCACTTAAAAATAACAAATTTTTATAACACAAGAAAGTCATAACTACATATATAAGTAATTAAAGTAAATAGTTTTGGAAGTCACGGCAGTGAAAAGGCGCTAGCGCAGCTAAAATGAAGCAGTTTCCCACGACGCTGGTATTCTGCCAGAACCGTGTTCAAAAAGATAATATACGACCAAATTAAAAGATGCATGATGCGAATAACGTTTCATACTTGCTTTTGATTTGATTGATTGATTATTACTTACTTATTTGACAGTAATATGTTGGACAGATTATGGGAGTAGACTCCCCAGGTTACAATTTTCCCTTACACAGCACACATGCAAGTGCACTTGAAGACACTTGACCGTGTAGTCTTAGCCAATTAGAGACCACGTTGTTGACACTATTGGCAGTAAAACCTGATAATGTGACATGTACTGAGCGGTAGCCCTTATTGATACGGAATTAGGATGAGTGTGATTTAGTTTTAATTTAGTTTTAGATGCTCGACTGCAGGCAGGGTCATGCTTAACTTTTCATTATTTTATAAGTCGCGAGAAGACAAAACCAAGTAAAAAGAAAATAATGTAATAATTTAGTTTGTTTAATATATTAAATTTTTTACTAACTACGTTTCGAAAGAGTGCTTTCTGTACTCTACTATCAACCAGGAAGTAATTATTTAAATTTCATTGGTGTCGATTCATAAAAACGAAAAGTAAATTAAAAAATGTGTTCTATTAGTTCAGTACAAATTTTCATTGGTATTTGTAAAGTACCTATTGGATGCAGTTTTGTGTGTTTTTTTTTATCATGAATACTTTTAGGAATAGTGTTTTCACATCATATAGTACTCAAAGTATATCCTCAATTTTGCTACAATATATTGTTTAAGAGATTAATTCAACGCTTTCACTGTTATGCTGAATTAAATTAATGAAACAAAGCCATTTGAGGTTATGTCGACTCTTAATTAAGTTCACTTCATTATTTCTCTTTCGTCACTAGAACAGACATCTTGGAGCTGTTAAATAACTCGACGCCCATAACCCATTAGATAAACTTAATAATAATGATGTACAATTTATTATTTCAATTCAACGTTTTCTTAATAGATAAATGAAATAAATTTAAGCCAAAACGCAGAGGCTCAGCTTATGCTGGCACGGCGATGAGACCGTGCAGCTCTGTTTTTCAGTGTCTCCCTAATCGCTATACTCTTAAGCGGTAGTCGTGGCAACGAGGGCTAATGAGTACTCTCTTACGATCTAAAATTATACACTTAGACAGTGTGTGTTTGTACCACGACGACAAAATGAGCTCTAAACTAAGAAGAAAGAAACGGATGCACGGAGCTTAAATTAAATTTGCGTTTCTCCAGAATCGACGCCAACAGTTAGTCAAATTTCATGCTTGTTAACAAAAGATCATTCTCAAGAATTAGGGTAGTGATTACAAAATGCGTTTTAATTAGTTATTTTATGTTTCGTTATTTTTAATTATCTCTCATGCATTGTCAGAAAAAGTTGTAGATTGATCAGGTCATAAAACACGAGAAGTGATAGAGAGCAATAAAATTTTGAATATTTTAAAAATGTATTTTAGTCGACCCTTTCACTAAAAGCGTGAGTGAAGGAAAAGGAGGTACTAGGTTGTCAGAGGTTCAAATAGCATTCCTCGGGACATACCCTCTAGTAAGCTTGCCCCGTTTTTGGGACAAAGACGTGTCTTTTTGTGTAATTCCTGCTGTAACCATGATCCCAACGTCTGTGCCTCGCCTATGGAAGAATTCAGTTTTATAATACAAAAAAAAAGGATATTTGACAAAGTAAGAAAATAGCCAATAGCCGGAAAAAGTAAACTGTAAAGTATAATACCGATAACCCAAGGAAAAATTTCATAATTGTTATTTAATTAAAAAAAATTATATTTTACAAATTTTTGCAGTTTTTGTAAACATTGCAACCCGTATTTGGTTACGTACATGAAACCATATACTATCGTAACATGATGGAATTTCAAACACAAATTTTCAAAATTAAAAAAAAAACATACCGAAATAAATAATAATAATTAGTTACCCACTTATGAACGAGATTATAAATGTATTGGTTCCATTCAGTGATATTTTGAATTTTTTTTTATATTGAAGGGACGAACAAGCCGTGTGTGTGTCGTCACCACCACCCCTACCCTTCAAAACCGGAACCCAGTAATGTGAAGTAATGTGAGCTACTGCTTGGGGCAAAAATAGACAAGGTGGCAGTACTTCCCTGGACGAACTCTTTCACGAGGAGCTCTACTGCTATTAAAGATTTTTGTTTATATTATATTTAGATTCATGTGGGTTTTATTCATACCCATGACATAAGAATTAGAAAAAACATGCGCCTTGTTATTAAACCAATAGTATTTTTTACAGTACTACATCCATATACCCTCGTATTACTGTTAGCTTACAATAGGATTTGTATCGTCTCAATTTCAAACTTCTAATCCTTAACTATGCCACCACAGCTACAGTAGATATAAAGCGACTATATAACAAACTTTAACATCGATTTACCTGTTGGTATGGACGGCGTGACCGAATCCCTCTGGTGGAGCGGCGATGTACAGCGGCGGTGCGGGCTCGGCTGCGCCTGGGCAGAGCCCGACGCCGGTCGAAGCGTTCGATGCCGATGAGCATGACGAATTCGAATGGTTTAACGCTGGAATTTGAAAAAAGAAGACGTGTGATTGGTGATTTAATGTTTGAATTTGAAATAAGAAAGATAATCGTATGTGATTGGTTGATTTCAGTCAATTTGTGTTTAGAATGGTGTAAATTGATTTGTGTGCTTTAATGCCTTTTTAATTGATTAGGTAGGTAATTGATTAGTGAAAAGTTCAAACAGACTGCAACCTATTGGTTTTAGTCTGGATATTCTGGGTTGCGCTTCTTGAGCTGATGTCCTTACTTTCATGACTGATATTTACTAAAGCAAATTCTATTGCTAACGTCAGAACGAATTAAAAAGACGGTGGTAGGCTATAAGTAATATGCCAAACTACTACACCAATTGCCTGGTTTCAAACTAGAGAATACTAACGGTACCATAGCTACGGGATTCACTCCCAGAAAAAATTCATTTCCCAAATTGGTCCTACCGGGAATCGAACCCGGGATCTGCGCCTACAGCGCCCACTGTGCAAACCGTTAGGCCACCGAGGTCGTCGAATGTACATTGGTACTGAAGCTGATCAAATAAATACCTACCCCCTAATACAAGGTACTTCACCGTCTATCATGAGAATCGATCAATAGTTGGACAGTATAGTCTTAAGGAGGAGGATTAATGAGGCAAACTAATTTGCATTCTCCAAGGATCAAAGTCTCCAATCCGTTTATATTAAGCCTATTCACAAGACAGTGTAGCTGTTGAAAAGTACACTGTAATTAAAATTAAGGAACAACAGTTTCTTTCAGGTAATCTTAAAATCGAGCGCGTCAATTTGATAGAAGATTGAAATTCAGAGTAAAGCCAATTTCGGTAGCATTTTGTATTATTCAAATAGTATATTTTTGTCAAATAATATTTCAGGATACTAGTAATATTCAAGAATATTTAAATCATAAAACTTGCCACCTAAATTAGGTAGATAAAACTAACCTGAAAATTACATCCAGACGCGTTTATAAAATTTGAAGGTTTTTCTGAGAAAAATTATAGTGTTCGGCAGCTGCCTTTATCGGGTAGGGCGCTGGAGGAAACTTCGTATATTTTAAATGAAACTTTAATATCACATACACATATTTTTTATTCCAACACCGAGAGAAGAGAAGGAGAGAAATGTCGCAACATGTCTGCAATAATAGTGAATCTTCCCAACAAATAGTTAAAATATATTTTTGATGTTGAATAGCTTATTCGGAAACAGGATATTTATGTTTATATGTATGTTTTTTAGTCGCTTTTTTTAAACTAATATTTTTTCATTCAACTTAATAGAAAAAAAATAGAAATATAATATTACTGTATAAAAATAATAAATACTCAACTAATTAACGTATCTTTTAAAGTTAAAACTTGACTAAACTAAAGGACGTAATTATAGTTGTGATAATCTCAGTACAGAGTACTAAAAAACCGACCTCAAAAGTACGTGGAATTACATATATTTGCCAAGTTTTATTGACATCGGTTACCGTAAAGTGCGCAAACCCGGATTCATCCCCTAGTTCGCCACACTTGGCACAGGAGATAATAAAAATCGGTTCTCACTACTTAAAATTTATATTGAGAGAAAAACGCCTTGAGAACAGAAAAATCAACCATTAAAATAATTGCCCCTTGTAATAAAATTTAGGCGCTATTTATAAAAATGAATCTTCATGCGTGAACAGCCATCCTTGGAGGTGGACGATTTTCTTCAAAATTAAATGGGACCACTATGGAGGTACCCTCTTTCCAACAAAAAAGAATCATCAAAATCGGTTCACAAATCAGAAAAAAAAACATACAGTCGAATTGAGAACCTCCTCCTTTTTTTAAAGTCGGTTAAAATTCGGATTAATGTACTGCACAATAAAAACCCACTTCCGTATATTACTATATTCCGTATACTAAGTAAGATCCTTTGATATTAGTGTTTTTAAACAGGATAATGGTGAAACAAATACTATACGTATTATACATACGTTTAATGTAGTAAAGTATGTATAATACGTTTAATAAAAATTTTATATAAATTATTTATTAAATTTTTATTAAATAATTAACAATTAAATTTAATAAATGTGAAAGAAATGCCTTTTTATGGGGAAAAATCTGATTTTATTGATCCGGATGTGCCTGTAATTTAAAGGAAATTAAACTTACATTTCGGTTTTAAATCGCGTATATTTGTTTTTACAAAGAAACCAACGTTTTGGGCCCTTTGCAGGTCCCATGGTCACGATTGACTGACATTGAGTGTTCGATCTTTGTATTAATAATTATAACAAACTAGTGGAGTAATTTCACAAAAAATAATTGAATATCAATTCAATAAAAATTTAATTAATATATGTATTCTATAAAAAAATACATATTTATTATATATTATAATGAGGCGAATAACCTAATGAGTGATGATAAACTTGGACACGCAATTTCAAATACTTTGGTTACGTTATTTAAAAGTACATGTCCAAAATATATCATTTTAAGTGCTTTTAATATACTTTTTAAATAAATCTTCAATATTACTCTAGTTAGTGAATTAATGAAAAATATGACATTATATCGATATAAATACATAATAAACATGTGTAATTATTAGGATTCGCGTTAGCATTTTCGCTATGTTGCCGCTCTGATCACGTAACGTAATACCGCAAGAAAGTGATGGGTAACCACTTCACGCACACATTTGCGCGTGTGCAGATAGCGCCTTGCTGTATGTAGTAGTAGTAGTAGGTAAATAATTTTCGACTGTTGTATGGAGTGTCTGGGGTGTGCCCGAAGGAAGAATAGTGACATCACTTACCAGGTAATGGGCGATGGACAGCAGTAACGTACTGATTGCCCTGCATGTAGCCGCGATCTGGCTCCGCGTGGTGGGCATGATGCCCTATGGAATGCTGGTGGGAGTAGAAACCGTCTGGCGGATGGAGTGCCCCCCCACCTCCACCTTCTTCCTCGTCTACTTTTTGCGAGAAGCTGTGGACAAAAGAAAAGACGTTTGATATAGATTACAGAGTTACATAGATTTCGTACCATAATTTATAATAATAGTTCATATAGCAACCACTTTCATTGCGCTTGTAATAAATAAATTGTAAAAAAAGTACTACGCCGATTGGAGTAATATATGTAGCTCGGAGAGCTGAATAAACTGGTCGATTCCCATGGTCTGTACTATGATTTTACACATGTACGACGACACTTACATGCACATTATGTCATCGTACGTTGCAACGCACTCGGCACAGTAAATGACCTGTATTTGTAGTATGACTTTACGGTCTAGAAATCATAAGCTGAAAATATTTCAGTGACAAATTTTACAGCGCCTCTAGCTGTTGCAAAATTTTGCGCAGTTGCTAGCAGATTCTACACTAAAAGTTTGTTGACGTACTTATTGTCTGTCTTGTGCCGTAAGCAACAAAGGCCATATTCCAATGAACAGCATCCTCAAAAATAAATCGTTAATTGTAACAACACGGGACACGGTCCAACTTATAGGGCTTATAAAAGGCTTCAGTTTATTGTATAACATGATGACTGAAAACAATTGGTATATAAAGTTATTCCTTATATTACAGAAAATACAGATTGTAATTGTATAACATGCTACACGGTTCTGGATACAGGGCGCACCAAAGCCGTTAATTTACATAGGCTTCGTCATATGTTTGTACAATCAAAGCCTATATCTTCAATAGATGGAATCAATACGATTATAAATAATTTTCTTGCCCAATAGTTTTCATACATCGAATAGTACCTACCCTTTAAAATTTCCAAAAACTGGGGTGGATACATAAGACAATTTAATTATAGTCTGGCTTCACAGCTTACGGTTGCGTACGATCCGTAGGGACTGTTCGCCTGCGGGCATACCGCATGCGTAGAATCCGCAGTGCTGTGAATCGAGTATTTAATTTGGTGCGGATATTCACGGAAGATAGTCGCCTACAACGAACGCACGGGTGGCTTGTGCGGAGCTCACGCGGAGCGTGTTCCGTACGGAGCAATACGCGTCATTGTATAACGATGTTCTAACGCCACACTTCTTCGTTCCTATACTTCGTTCCAGTGCTCCGCGCGGACGGTCCGCAGATAAATCCGCATTGCTCTGAAACTAGCCTAAGACACGTCTTGTGTTTATACTGCAACACAGCATCGTGCATAAAGATCACTATTGTTTTATTCTTCCAAAAAAAAAAAAAAGTTTAGTGGTTTTAAAAGCAACATCAATAAAAAATATACCTTATTTCTACTTATTTTCTTATACAAAAAAATGTATAAATAAAAATAATCCTATCATGCACAATAAGTCATTCAACTTTTTTTTTTTAATTTTCATATTGTGTTTTCTCAATTCCATCATTTTTGAGTTACGATAGTATTTCGTTTCAAATGTGATATGCTTCCATCTATTACACAAAAGTGACATGTTTTATATACAATAATAAAGATAGCATCGAAATATGTTTGATTAAACTGTGTAATAAAAAAATTGTGAAAGTAAGAGGGAAACATACGTTTAACAACATACTTTTCCATTATGTGGAAACTACACTAATAAAACTCTTCATAAAAGCAGCAGCGTTAAATAACCACTGTTCCACGCTCCGGTGATCTCCTCCCGATTATCATATTAGTACTGTTAAGCATTTTACGATGATTGCTCGCGCGTGCTACGGTCCCGGTGCGAAGTATTTCTTTCATCAATATTGTTGAAGTAATTCTGTGTCAAGTACAGAATAACTACAACGTTAACATAGAGGCTGTACAGCTACTAAACAGTACAAATATAGTGCGTAGACTACAAAGAACTAAACCTTTTGAGTTACTATAGTTAAGTTATAGTGAATAAATATTAGTGCCAGCGTCAATTTGATGAACACATGAAAGTGATGAAGACACAGAGTGTCTTCCCCTTAACTAATATCAAAAGATATTTTGCCGATGGACAATTTCTTTACATGAGTTACTTTTATTTTAGGACATTATGTTAAATTAAAATTGCTTATTAGTCCTGTAAAAAGGCTAGGTAGTAGGTAATTAGCTACAAGGTTTTGTTTTTGATAAAAATTTTACTCATTTTGTATGAAAAATAATTTTATTAAATTTTACCTTCTATTCTCCCGATTTTTCTCGTCCCCAATGAAATCATCGTTATAAGAAGCTGAGTCTATCAGCATTAAAAAATAGTCAATTTTATTCATTTTGCATGAAAAACATTTTATAAAATTTGACCAACTCCTGCTGTCCCGATTTTTCGTCCCATTGTATGGGAATCGAATGAACCGGCACTAAAAAAACATTTGATCAATTTTATTCATTTTTATGGTCAATACACGCTTGATTGGGCCAAGATTGTTTTTACAAAAAAAGACAACGATGCCTATGGTTTTGGATTTCCCCATACTGTTCCATTAAAAAAAACACTATATATATTTGATATACAAGCAACGTCTCTCCGTAGACTAAAGGATTTCGAACCGTCTGTGACTTTGGGATCATCGACAACACGAACAGCCCGACGTTGGATTGAGCCAAGTGGATCAAGCTGGTATTATACTTACTAAAACTCCAAGTAATATGCACGGAGTGGACCAAGCTGGTATTATACTTACTAAAACTCCAAGTAATACACACGGAGTGGATCTCTGTTTCTCAAATCCCGGAAAACACTGCAGAACTCCTTTTTTTAAAGTCGGTTAATTAACTGATTTTCACTATATCCATCTTCACGTGAAAAGCTGAATGTAATAACAATTGAAAGTCGAACGATCAAATATATGTTTTTAAAATTAAGAATGTTATACTTTTCGTGTGAAATAAGTTTCATTCTGAAATCTGACACCATACAGGTTTAATTTTAATTCAAAGTGGCCAGTACAATAAACCTAATAATACGTACATATTTTGATTATAGATCTATTATCTACTTCAAAATACTTTCAAATCGTCGTTATAATGTTGGACACGAGAACAGCTATTAACTTTCTCTTTAGCTAGAAAACGGATCAGATACCCTTATAATAATATATACATATTTCTGTGATCTGAAAGTTTCCTGTACCATGAGTACCAGAGCAACGAATTCACTCCAGGGTACTACCTGGAACATCTGGACCAGAAATAATGCAAAAAGTTCATTTCCCAAATTGGTCCTACTGTGAATGGAACCTGGGACCAACTTACCCAATACCAAAGCTTACATGATCATACCGATGAGAGCTTTGCAATGCTGGTAACCTTTCCAAAGCTCTTGATTATACAGGTCGAATGAAATATTTAATGAAAACAAATTTTGAATTAAAAAACACGTATCACAAGTGTACGTGTCTGAGAGAACACCTGGACAAATGCTGAAACAACCAAACCACATTAATAACTCCCAAATGAACAAAATATTATGTTTATTACATCTTTACGTATCAAATAATCATTCCATACAATGTTTCAACAATTCGTCACGCTATCGAGACAATTACAATGTACGTTCAAGTAAATATAAAACTGTATTATGCTTATTTACGTTACTTTTAAATAGCATAGCAATTTGTATATGAATTTATTTTGATGATGTAACTGTTTGACGACATTTTCTAGTAGTTACTGTTTTCGTATTGTATATATATATATTGTTTATAATATCGTAAGTAGAAAATAGCTATAAAGAAAAAGCATCATCCGAGATAATTCAATGTAATTCATTAATAAATTCACAAATACCGTCGAACCTCAATACAAAAATTATCCCAAAATACAAGAAAACTTTACGATGTTTGCCCATCTTACTTAACGTCCTAAATACCCGTGTTCGTTCAAATATTTGGAAGAGATAGTGTGAATATGTTTGTAGTAACATAACACGAAAATGGGTCAAATGTAATAAGGTTACATTACTTGTTTAAGTATTACATCACGCAACATTTTCCTCTCTATCACTAACAATTTAGTCTTCCTTCAGCATGAAGCGGCGCGAGACAATACCAAACAGCGTTTTCTGGTGTCGAAGGCCGCCACATTGGTTGCTGTTATACTACGAAATAGTCACATGGGTTAAAATGTCCAATATAGATAGGATTCCAAGAACTTCTATTGCCCTGACTAAGGTTTTTTTTTTATGATACCAAGTGACAAGACGAACAAGTTGTGCGCCTGGTGTTAATCGACACGTCGGTCCACATCAGTAGCCATGACACTCAGTGCTTTAAATGCCACTGGCACTGCCACCGCGCCCTTCAGCCTTTGACGTCCACATTTGACTAGTTCCATGCGGCTGTTTTTCACCAACACCCTCACCTTTCAAAGCCGGAACGCGGACTGCTAACACTAATGCTTGGCGGCAGAAATAGGTGAGGTACAGTACTTCCCTGGACGAATACTTTCACGAGGCTCTCTAAGCTCTACTGCCAAATATTAGAGTATCATATAAGAGATGCCACTACTATCGTAGAAAGTTTTCAATTCAAATTCCACTGGGGGCAAAGAGCGATTCTTTTAATCATATTAAGTCATATTTAGTTCAGTTCGTAAAATTGTTACTTGGTTTTTACAATGAAGAAAAATAATGTTAGGGAACCTGCACGTGAAGGGGACAACCCAAATTGGGACAGCGTCGTAGACTAAAGCGCACCACCCTAGTGAAGGCACACACAGTGATGACATGAGAAACATCTACAAAAATTTCTGTTTACCTTCAACATCAAACAGGTATCATTTAGAGCAACCGAGAGATAAATCAAACTCAAAGAAGAGTATCAATTAGTTTTTCAAAAATTGATTTTACGAAGAAACACCAAGAAATTATCAAACGAACCTTCTGTTACTTATTTCCAGTACACTTTTCAAACTTCGTTAGTTAATTAAGATATTGTTGGTTCATCAGTTTGACTCTTGGAAAAACAAACTGTGCCTTCGTAATAGAATGCATGCTCTTGCCTCGTGTTGACTTATCATTTGGTGAAGTGCAGAAAATG